CATCCTCCTTAAGGTAAGAGTCTCTAATTCATGTTTTTTTGTACCTATGTGAGTTAATCTCTAGATAATTGTTGTTAGCATGTTTAATTGGTGTTAATTATCCCTAAATGATTTAATTGTGGTGTACAAAGTTCTTGATTTTATGTATTAGTTGATTTGTATGAAAACATGCCTAAGTGTTGATTTTCTTTGTTTATTGTGTTGATAAATTGCTAAAAATGATATATGGAAGCATGTATAATTTTCTTAAAATTATTGTAAAGCATGCTTAATTGTGTTATATGAAAATCCCTTATTATCATAGCATTGTATGAAAATCCCTTATTATCGTAGCATTGAAAGTATGAGACAAGTATGCATTTCATTGGATATGAATGAAGGGAAATTATTTGAAAAAAAAAAAAAGGAAGGGGACTTTTGGGAAGAAATATTAATTAAGTGATTTTGAGAAAACCCGATCGCCACGGAGTTACCAAAGGGCCAGTGTGTTAATGTAACCTAGAGGGAACGGGGGAAAACACCCTAGGGTGGTTGAGCTATCTGGCCCAAATGACGTCGCGGAAGTACCAAGGGTCAGGGACAGTAACAATCCTTTTCTCATGTCGCTACGGAGTCATCAACGGATGGTATGCTTCATAAATAACCAGGATATAATATCACTTAATAATTAAATATTAACACACAATGTGACGTCTTGAAATAGTTATATTCTTATGTTATAAAATACGATTAATTAATAGTACTGATGTTACAGGAGAGGTGAGGAATTAGAATCCAGTAGTGGGTAGTTTGTGATATGTGTGTGTGAGAGTTGTGAGGTCGTGAGGGGTTCGAGTTTCTTAGCGGGTAATTTGTGAAATGTGCATGTGACTTCCTCGTTCTGTTCTAGTTTAACATAATAAAACCTGTTTTTGCCAAAAACGAAATAATAGATGATAACGAATATTATTGATATTAAGGAAACTTAAGATGGGGTTTTCTTATATATTCCAAATTTTATGGGTCCTCGATGAATACTAAAGTTTAAGCAAACATCCTTTTCTGTCTTGGGAATTAAAACGCAGGGTGACCAATCCACCATAGGATGTTGCAAAAATCTACCTATATCCAGCAAATGCTTATGATTTTGGGGACATAAAGTATAAATGGTGTGGAGAAAGTCAAAGATCACACAAGACCTCTCTCATGTTACTTCACCGTGTTTAGACTTAGTACATGATGGTTGAGGTTTAAGATAAAGCTGGTTTTGGGTCCCATCAATGACTCCACACCACAGGATGATCAGACAATATACATCCACATGCATGTATGTACACCCCATGTTGAAATGTGTATGGCTTGTGACACAGCTTAGCAACAAATCTAGGGCAATCTAATTTTTCTGTATTGGCCCTTTAAATAATAGTAGTGTTTAGTATAGCTCATTTTATTTTATTTTATTTCATTGAGAAGATTTACCCTATATATATATTTTATTTTATTTCATTCTATATATATATATATATATATATATATATATTTTGAAAGATAACTCTCTGTCTAAAATTATCTTTACCAAAATACCAGAAATCCTAGATGCCGTGTACGATCAGCAATCAACATACTTTTGTCCACATGATAGCCAAGGGAGGTCACCTCTTTCCTATGCATCATCAATAGGTTACTTTGAAGGCGTTCGCTACTTTTTGAGCAAAAGCAGCTATGTAGCTGCTGCATACATAAGAGACCGGGATCGGGATGGCTCATTTCCCATTCACTGGGCATCCAAGAGAGGCCATGTCAATATTATACAAGAGTTTCTCCACCGTTGCCCCGATTCAAAGGAGTTGCTCAACTATGATGGTCGGAATATTCTTCATGTGGCTGCTAAGAAGGGGATGGCCAATGTAGCCTCTTATGTGCTTAAGAAGCCTGAGCTTGCAATGCTCATCAACAACGAGATGAAAAAAAGGGAGAGACTCCATTGCATTTGGCCACCAAGGGGGAGCATGCCCGGGTTGTGCATATTCTAACGTGGGACATGGGAGTTAACTTGGAGATCAGAAACGATAATGGCTTAACCACTCTAGATTTGGCAGCGGAGCGTCCTTATAATGCCACATTTCAAAAGGTATGTGTTGTAGCAAGTCAAATTCTAGCCTTTCTAGGTACTAGCTAATCTAAATATTATATATAATTTGCTAGATAATGTTATTTTATTTTACTTTGTCTGGCTGATATCACAAACTGACCTTTAACAAACCTTGGTGTGGCAGACAGTAATTAAACAATATATATGTACAGATTTCTATGTGTGCGTCTGAGTGTGTGAGAAATAGAGGAGACATGGATTTCTCTTCCGTTACTAACTGTTATATGATCCATCTCTTGCAGCGGTTGACATGGCTGGCCTTGAGATATGCTGGTGCACCACAAACACGGAAAGAAAATTATTACCTTAGTTCTCGTTATACTGAAAGGTTCAACACTCTTTTGTTGATGGCTACACTAATAGCCACCGTGACATTTGCAGCTGGTTTTACCATGCCAGGTGGGTATAACAGCTCTGATGATCATCCAAACAAAGGCATGGCAACTCTGGTTAAAAAGCGTATGTTTCAAATTTTCGTGTTAAGTAACACCGTAGCTATGTATAGTTCCATCATTGTAGCCATTCTTCTCATTTGGGCAATGTTGAATGATCTGCGTTTGAGCCTATGTTCCATCAAATTGGCGATTCCATTGTTGGGAATATCCCTTTCGATGGTCTCCTTGGCATTTATGGTAGCCATTTCTCTAGTAGTGAGTAATGTAACTTGGCTTGCCAATGTTGTTCTGATCATAGGTTCAATCTCCCTCCTCAGTCTTTGGATAATATTTATTCCGCTCTCGTTCCCCAATTCCTTGACAGATCGTGTCTCTCGATATATCCTCCGGTATCCACTTTATCTTTTGATATTAGCAACCGAAAAGTGAAGACGATGGATGCAGACGAATAATTTCCAATGATCCTATTTCCTATTGCATTGTTGGATGGTCTTGTATTTTGTGTTCTCTGTTGACTTCAGTTCTCTATAAGAATGGTTTGCTGGTTAGAGGTTGTCCTCTTGTTGAGGGACTTATGGCTGCATTGGCAAGATTGGTCCTTTATTGGCTCTGCTTTCCCTAGTTGGGTGTGGTTATGAGGCTACTAGATATGGTGCATGCTTCAGTTGTAATTTGAAATTCTGTTTGTTTTAAGGACTTCTTGTTGGGTTGTTTTAAGGACTTCTTGTTGGGCTTGTCTGTGGGTTTTCCTTTGTGCGTGGGCTTGTTTAGTATTTTCTTGGTTGTCGCCATTTGGGCTTTGTTGGTCTTGCTTTCAAGACTTTTATTTTTCTAATAAATCTTCAATTACTAAAAATATGTGAAATATTTTTGTATATGATTTGGAAATCTGAAGAATTTGAACTGCTCATAGTATAGTGAAGAGGGATTATTATTTTAGCCTTTATACGTTATTCATCTCTAAAAATGAAAAACTTATTAAATGATGTTGGGCTAATCACCATTGGATATATAAATATATATATTCACCGAAATGACGGGGTTTTTCTTATGTATTCATATTTTGGATACTTAAAATGCAATCAACTTTGACTTGAAAAAATTGTCATTCATACTTTCAAAGAAGAAATTTTCAACTTATAATAATGGCCCTAATATTGGCACTCCACCATCTTACAAAAACAGTCCTCCAACAACTCAATGTTGGTTCCTACCTCATTTTTATTTGGATAAACTCTCTCATATGCTTTTTTACTACTGATAAAAGATAAAACTAATGAGAAAAAAAGATAAAATCAGTCACAAATTGAGTAAGTTCTAATCCTAAACCTCTCTTAATCTATTAGCTTAGACCTCGTGTCCATATGATATGGTCAAATTTGATGACAAAGAAATAAATTGGGGCATTGAATAGAAGTTAAGAAACTGTGGGAATTACCAAAAAAAAAAAAAAACCAAAAAACTTTATAAAATGATCAAGTCCAATCGGTGAATAAAAATATAGTTGGATTAATTAATTTGTTCATTAATATGATCTGAGGTCTCATAAATTTTAAAGTATTACTTCTTTTTAGTTTTCTGATCCTCTAAAAAATTCAAAACATAGGCTCAAACTGAGTGTCTTACCGTTTGGTATTGAAGATGCAAAACACATTCTTTCAATTTGGAAAGATAAGTCTTTACACTTCAAAGTATCCCACCAGTTTGTTCCTCTCTTTTCATTATATTTATAAACTTTTACACCTCTGGGCTCCTCCTGGACACCGGCCCATTTCTTTTGCTTTGAGATTGGGCTTGGAGATTATCTCAATGGATATTGGGCTTGATGGGTGGTCATCCGATCGGGTTAAATGTTCTTACCTGATCCAATCTTTAGTGATATGGATCGTAGCCGCCAGACCATTTTTGGTATCTTCAGATATCCTCAAAGTTGCATAAGAATTACTTGTACAAATATTTTGTGGGATTTATATTATTTTGAGAAAACAAAATTATAAACATTCTTTTGCAGCTGCAAAAGAAATTAAAAAATTCTCCACCATAAAATTAATAATCGGAGAGAGAGTTTGAATTAGTCTAACACGGTGGTCACCAAACGATAATGATTCCAACCATCTAATAATGATAATTTCTCAAAATGGAAAGCATTATTGGGACTGAATCCTATCACGGAATTAGTAATATTGAATCTGACTCGCATTTTCTGATGCCAGGTATTCGACAATATGGTTTGCTGATCAGCCGACGGTATGAAGGCGAAACAATATGTAAGTGTCAAAAATATGTTAGCCCACACGGCCCACAGAGCTTGGTCAAACAGTCAAAGAACTACGCTACATCATCAACAATGACCACATAGCTTGGTCAAATAGTCAACAGACTATGCCACATCAACAACAATGGCCCACAAATCAAATAGTCAACGGTCAAAATATGTGCCATTTACCACGTTATCACTATACCTTGAATAAAAAAGCGAAAACTTAAAGACCTGAGTTGGGAGCAGGACTCAGGATTACTTGGGATCCGAGAGGTACTTAGTTTGGTGGCTGAAGTCCAGAGCTCGTCGAGTTGGCTCTCGACCTAACTTACAGAGAGAAAAATACCATTTTAACTCTCGAAATTATTAACCCCATTTTAATATAGCTTTATAATTATTTGAGATATTTCTCTCTTTTAATTATTATATTAATTAATTCATATGTGATGTCATCCAATGATATCATCCAACCTCTCACCTGGCCTATATAAGGAAGCGTTCCAAGGCCAAGAGGGGTAGAGTGCAAGGGAGGAAAACACCTCCTAGACATTGAGAGCTCTAAGCCTCTCTCTCATTGGTTGTTTTCACAACTCTTAAACATTTACTAAGGGAGTCAATGGTGTTTAGTACACTGTCATCCTCTTTCTCTCAAGTTTGCTTGGACTTCCACCTCCCTCTGTCCACCTCGAATTCTATTATGTTGTTTGAATCACTTAGATTTGTGTATGATATCACCATTTATATGTATTTTATTATGTTACGAAAACGAACCCCCACACAATATAGTCCAGTTTTATATTGCAGCATGTAATTCAATGGAAGCAAGTTCACTATTTTATCTCCAGCGAAGTGGAATGACACAGTCGGTACGCTAACTGTATCCATCCCGGAGAGATAATAGCAAGTATACAGAAATGATGACACTTCTGTCGTCGGCGTTGACAGATTCTCAGCTTTCTGAACAAACGAGTCATGGAACAGTTCAAACACCGCTATGGCCAACCGAGTGACGTGAGTCCCTGAGTCGATCAACACCCCTCCGTTGCTATCTTCCTGCAATTCAAATATTGCCCGCAGAACCGGCAGCAACTGGTCACTAACACTGATTCTAGTGAGCCTGACGTAGAAGTACATTCGGGTTTTCTCATTGCGAATCATCGGAACAATGACTGAATCGGCTGGCGTGGATGAGTTGAAATCGAGAATGGAAGACGACGTGGAGTCACGGTCCAAAAGACAGTATGAAAAGGATGAGGACTTGAGCTGGGAAAAGTGTTGGGTTTATTTCCTTTTATATGGAGGAAAGCCCAAGTGGGTTTTATTAAAGCCCAAAGCCCAGCTCTTTAGGGTAAATAACCCTAAGGAAGTTAGAATAAAAAGGGAGAGAGATCAGCCGTATTTTTTCACAAGAGAAAAAAGAAAAACGCAGGTTTTTTCTATTCTGCCCAGATTTCATCAAAGGTCCGATCCCGCTTTGTTCGTGGTCCGATCGAGCTGAAATTTGAAGGAGAGGTTCACGACTCAATGAGTTAAAATCTGAATGGTGGAGATCGGATTTTGAGATCGGGAACAGTGATTCGTGCCCGTGAACAGTAACCGGATTTTGGTATTTTTCTCTCCAATTTTCTTTGTTTTTGCCAAGATTATTGATATCTTGATGAGATGTATTGTAGCCTCTAATTGCGATTAGATAAGACTTTGTGTACCCATTATTTGGTTGATAGTAGAGATTTTAATTGGACTAGGTCCTGTGATTTTTCTTTCTCACACTGGGGAAGTTTTTCGCGTAAAAATTGCTTGTGTTCTTGTGGCTTGATGTGATTGATTTTCTTTTCTATTATTTTCAGCACATATAAAAGTAGAGATATACTATATTTGCTTGCATATAGGGAAAAGAGTTATTCCGCTGTGTTTATTTATTGTTATCTCTCCCAACAAAGTAGTATCAGAGCTCCAGGTTGACAGATTGTCAGGTTGGCAGTTTGAGTTATGGAAGCAAATACGAGTAGAATGATTAATCTCAATGGTTCAAATTATCACATATGGAAAGAAAAAATGGAGGATCTTCTTTATGTGAAAGATTATTACCTACCGGTGTTTAGTGCTGAAAAACCAGAAAACAAGACTGTTGTGGAATGGACTTTATTACATCGACAGGTGTGTGGGTATATGAAGCAGTGGGTAGATGATAATGTTTTGAATCATATTAGTGGAGAGACAAATGCACCTTCTCTATGGAGTAAGCTTGAACAACTATATGTTAGAAAGACTGGAAATAATAAATTGTTTTTGATTAAGTAGATGATGGCTTTGAGATACCAAGACGGGACTCCTTTATCTGATCACCTGAATACATTCCAAGGAATTATTAATCAGCTGGCTGGAATGGGTTTTATGTTTGATGATGAGATACAAGGGTTATGGTTGTTTGGTTCATTACTGGACTCGTAGGAGACACTCAGAACTTCATTGTCTAACTCCGCTCCAGAAGGTGTAATCACAATGGATATGGCCAAGAGTTGTTTGCTAAATGAAGAGATGAGAAGAAAAATACAAGGATCCTCTTCACAGTCAGAGATCTTGGTTACAGAAAAGAGGGGGAGAAGTAAGAGCAGAGGTCCGAAGAACAGAGATAACAACAGAAGCAAGTCCAACAAGTTTGCAAATGTTGAGTGTTATCATTGCGGGAAAAAAGGACACATCAAGAAATATTGCAGGCAATTGAAGAAAGAAAACAAGAATGAGAAAGGGAAGGGAACGAAAAATGAAGATGACAAAGATGGTGATGACAGAGTTGCTACCACCACTCCTGCAAACTTCCTCATTGTTTATGATGATGAGACGATATATGTTACATACCATGAGACCAGTTGGGTGATTGACAGTGGTGCCTCAATTCATGCTACATCTCGGAATGATTTCTTTACATCTTATAAATCTGGTGATTTTGGAACAATAAAGATGGGCAACGATGGCTTGGTTAAAGCCATTGGAATTGGGGATGTGTATCTGAAGACGAATAATGGCACAAAGTTAGTTCTTAGAGATGTGAAACATGTTCCTGACATTCGTCTGAATTTGATTTCTGCAGGTAAACTTGATGATGAAAGGTATTGCAGCACTTTCAGTGATGGCCAGTGTAAGCTCACTAGGGGTGCTATGGTTGTGGCTCGAGGCATAAAACACTCTGCACTGTACGTTCTGTAAGCAAAGATCTCCAACGACATTGTTAATGAGATGGAGGATAATGATACAACAGAGTTGTGGCACAAGAAACTGGCTCACATAAGTGAGAAAGGATTAGCTCTACTAGGGAAGAAAAGTCTACTATGTGGACTGAAAAGTACACTTCTAAAAAGGTGTACTCATTGTTTGTCAGGGAAGCAGAGCAGAGTCTTCTTCAAGAATTCCCCTCATTCGAGAAAGTCAGAGATACTGGATTTGGTACATTCAGATGTGTGTGGCCCTATGAAAACGAAAACACTTGGTGGCTCCAGATAATTTGCGACCTTCGTAGATGACCATTCAAGGAAGTTGTGGGTATTTACCTTGAATTCAAAAGATCAAGTGTTGGCAGTATTCAAGCAATTCCAAGCCCTAGTTGAGAGACAAACTGGGAAGAAGCTGAGATGCATTCGTACTAATAATGGTGGAGAGTATTCTGGTCCTTTTGACGAGTATTGTAGACAGCAGGGTATCTGGCATCAAAAGGCAACTCCAAAAACTCCTCAGTTGAATGGCATAGCAGAAATGATAAACAGGACACTGGTTGAGAGAGTGAGATGTTTGCTTTCACAAGCCCAGTTGCCAAAATCCTTTTGGGGGGAGGCATTGAGCACAGTTTTTCATGTATTGAATCTTACACCCTGTGTTCCTCTACAATTTGATGTGCCAGACTAAGTTTGGATAGGTAAGGATGTTTCTTATAATCATTTACGTGTTTTTGGGTGCAAAACATTTGTGCATATTTCAAAAGATGAAAGGTCCAAACTGGATGTGAAAACACGACAGTGTATATTCCTTGGCTATGGCCAAGATGAGTTTGGGTACAAGCTTTATGATCCAGTTGAGAAGAAAATTGTGAGAAGCAGAGATGTCGTGTTTGTAGAAGATCAGACAATTCAGGATATTGAGAAAGCATGTAAATCTATGTCTCAGCAAGGTGATATCTTGACTGATGTAGATCCAACTCCTCTGAAGAATTTGCCATCTTAGGTTGAGAATGATGTTCAAGATGACCACCAGTGTATAGGTGATGTGGATGTTCCCCTACAGGTTCAGGGAGATGTTGAGACTGATGAGCAGTTGACAACGCCAGAGATTCCACCAAAGATTCCATCTAGGAAGTCTCCCAGAGACCGACGTCCTTTCACTTGGTATTCAGCAGAGCAATATGTGCTATGACTGATAGGGGAGAGCCCCAGTGTTTTGCAGAAGCCATAGAAGATGAACACAAGACAAAGTGGGTTGAGGCCATGCAAGATGAGATGTAGTCATTGCATGATAATCGCACTTTTGAGTTAGTGAAGCTACCTAAAGGAAAAAGAGCTTTGGAAAACAAGTGGATTTATAGAAAGAAGCCAAATGGGTTCTCTTCATAGCCACGGTACAAAGCTAGATTGGTTGTCAAAGGGTTCGATCAAAGAAAAGGTATTGACTTTGATGAGATCTTCTCTCCAGTGGTAAAGATGTCATCGATCCGTATAGTACTCGGCCTTACAGCTAGTCTTGACTTGGAAGTTGAGCAAATGGATGTGAAAACTACCTTCCTTCATGGTGATTTGGAGGAAGAGATTTATATGAAGCAGTCAAAGGGTTTCAAAGTGAAAGGGAAAGAGGATTATGTGTACAAGCTGAAGAAAATCCTATATGGTTTGAAACAAGCACTGAGACAGTGGTATAAGAAGTTTGAGTCTGTAATGGGAGAGCAAGGCTACAAGAAGATAACTTCTGATCACTGTGTATGTGTTAAAAAATTCTCTGATGATGATTTTATTATTCTACTGCTTTATGTGGATGACATGTTGATTGTTGGCAGGAATGCTTCAAGAATTGACCAGTTGAAAAAGTAATTGAGTAAGTAATTTGCTATGAAGGATTTGGGGTCAACAAAGAAAATTCTTGGCATAAGAATCAGTCGTGATAGGAGTGCCAAGAAGTTATATTTGTCATAGGAGGAGTACATTGAAAAAGTGCTTCAGAGGTTCAATATGGACAACACTAAAGTGGTTAGCTCTCCTTTTGCTACCCACTTCAAACTGACTACAAAGCAATGTCCTTCTATAGATAAGGAGAAGGAAGACATGGAAAGAGTTCCTTACGCCTCGGCAGTAGGAAGTTTGATGTATGCAATGATTTGCACAAGACCAGATATAGCCCATGCAGTTGGTGTCGTTAGCTGATTCTTGTCAAATTCGGGAAGAGAGCATTGGAATGCAGTGAAGTGGATCATGAGGTATCTTCGAGGCACTTCCAGTTTGAGACTTGGTTTGGGAAACGGACAACCATTGTTAGTTGGCTACACAGATGCAGATATGGCAGGGGATGTGGATACTCGTAAGTCTACTTCGGGTTATTTGATCACTTTTGTAGGTGGGGCTATAGGTTGGCAATCGAGACTTCAAAAGTGTATTACTCTTTCTACAACAAAGGCAGAATTTATTGCAGCAACGGAAGCGACTAAAGAGTTTCTATGGGCAAAGAAGTTCTTGAGAGAACTTGGTTTCAAACAGCAGAGGTATGTGTTGTTTTGTGATAGCCAGAGTGCTATTCATCTTGCTAAGAATTCCAGTTTTCATGCAAGATCTAAACACATTGATGTACGATACCATTGGATCAGAGATGCGTTGAACAATAAGTTACTTGAACTTGAGAAGGTTCACACTGATGATAATGGTTCTGATATGTTAACAAAGACCCTACCAAGAGAGAATCTTGAAGTTTGTTATTCGATCGCCGGAATGGCGATTCCCTCCACATAGTCGGAAAGGGGGAGATTTGTTGGGTTTATTTCCTTCTATATGGAGGAAAGCCCAAATGGGTTTTATTAAAGCCCAAAGCCCAGCTCTTTAGGGTAAATAACCCTAAGGAAGTCAGAATAAAAAGGGAGAGAGATCAGCCGTTTTTTTCACAAGAGAAAAAAGAAAAACGCAGGTTTTTTCTATTCTGCCCAGATTTCATCAAACGTCCGATCCGCTTCGTCCGTGGTCCGATCGGGCTGAAATTTGGAGGAGATGTTCACGACTCAATCAGTTAAAATCTGAACGGTGGAGATCGGATTTTGAGCTTGGGAACAGTGATTCGTTTCCGTGAACAGTAATCGGGTTTTGGTATTTTTCTCTCCAATTCTCTTTGTTTTTGCCAAGATTGTTGATATCTTGATGAGATGTATTGTAGCTTCTAATTGCGATTAGAGAAGACTTTGTGTACCCATTATTTGATTGATAGTGGAGATTTTAACTGGACTAGGTCCCGTGGTTTTTCTTCCTCACACTGGGGAAGTTTTCCACGTAAAAATTGCTTGTGTTCTTGTGGCTTGGTGTGATTGATTTTCTTTTCTATTATTTTCAGTACATATAAAAGTAGAGATATACTATATTTGCTTGCATATAGGGAGAAGAGTTATTCCGCTGTATTTATTTATTGTTATCTCTCCCAACAAAAAGAGCGCCAACTCGTCACCGCCAAGTACGACCATCCCCGACTCGTTGATCCGACGTTTAGTATCACCCAGGTCTTTGACATCCCGTTACGATGTCGTTTACAGAGCTGGAGCTCTCAAACGACATTGTTTCCAGCATCACATGACCCTCGAATAATGACCCATCTCGGTAATGGATCTCGTAATGGCAGTGACCTATACAAAGAGGTCTGCTTGCATTATGCAGATAGTTGCACTCTTGTGCATTGTGTGATGAATCCGGGCCAAACCCGTCTTGCTCATGACTTTTGACCCACGTTAGGTGACTGCCGGTGTCCAATATCAGGTACAAGTTGTACTTGGGGTTGGGTTGGCCAACTCCGATCCCCACCAAGTAGTGATTGGTGGCACATTCGAAGTGGGTTTAACCCGAGATGATCTCGGCTGATTCAACCGATTTTGGTTTGATGATTGTATTTATATATTTGACCTGCTCCAAGTCCGATTCAAGTCGAGCTACGGCGAGTGATCGACTTGTAATCTTTGTATTCATTTTTGAGGAAAAAAATCCCAGAATATAATGGAAGAGAAAATGGGGAAGGAGGATGTTTTCCAAGGTGTTTGGAGGATTTGAAACGCATTTCAGATACGAATTCAATTGCTCGGAGGCTACATTGAGTTGCATCAAAGACTTTGAGGACGGATGTGGATGATTCGAGACCTCCGGAGAAAACAAAATGGGAAACAAAACTTTTGCCATTTTGTGGTAAGGAAGTGGCACTCGAGCTTGGTTTTGTGATTGTGTGTGTGTGTGTGTGTGTGTTTGTCTCTGGAGATACAGAAAAGTTGTGACCAAACTACTTAAAACCTGTAAAATTCATGTCAAAATGACACAAATGCGTTGGTCTGTCTTATTGCTGTGAGTGCAGCTAAATTCATGTTAAATTGATGGCCAAACTGCTTAAATGTTAAATTCATGTACATCAACCCACTTAGTTTCTGCATGAGTATTATTATGCCATCTCTAGTGTTACTGTCATCATGGTACCGTTGCCTGTAAGACCTGAAATTACTCCAATTAATTTTGGCTTTTTAGGTCCAAATTTGTTAAAATTAAAAACGACCACGTTAAGTTAGCAATGGTACTCTTTTACCATCAACTTAGTGGATAATTTTCCTTTTTCACTGCAACATGCTAATGCACAAACCACACAACGTGCACTCAGGTGCACATAGGAAATAACATGTAAAATAAAAGAAGGTGCATCTTTCATCAAATGGTTGGGTGGAGGCCGATATTAGTGTTTCATTTAAAAATTTAGAAAAATAATTTTCAAAGCGAATAGTGAAGTTTCATGGCTTAATCGAATTATTTGTAGCGCCTTCAGATACATTAAGTTGGACTCTAAACCCATCTTAATTTATCTATAGGCATGTGTGTGTACTATTTGCTAAACAAATACCTACTCAAAGATCACATAAATTGTCAAAATGTCACACCTCATTTTTAAATACAAGAACATATAGTCCAACTACATGCATGACTTTACTCCAACACCCAAAATCATCTACAATCATTTGAAATAACTTAATAAATTACCTCCATCAACTAAATAAAACAAATAATATACTTAAAACTAATCGTCAAAATAAACAAGGGTATATAGCTAAGCACCTCACCACGGGAATCACTCATGCCATAATGATAAATTGGAATAATTAAACCAAAAATAATTCAGTCAAGCTCTAGTCCTTCATGTGCCTCTGTCACGTGCTAATTATTGAGTATCTGAAAGATGTTGAAAGAGTGACACGTTCGGCAAGAAAACTGTTTAATATAATCACTGCTCAACAAATCGATTTTACCTTATATTCCCACATATGAAAGTAACTCATAAAAGGTACATTAATTAAGTAGTATAACTTAAACTCAATTTATTTAATTAATTCCCATATATGATCACTGTAGTATCAACTTTTAAAAAAAATTATGCACTTGGCGGGGCAACTTTATATCTGTTTAGATCTATCAAGAATTCGTTTGGTTGTTTAAAGACCCACAACTGCAGTACTTCAAAATTTTGATTTCTTAAGAAAGGTTTATGAACTTACATGCCATGTTTTATAAATTTTTTGAAATTTTTTCATACTAATTAAATACACGGTATAAAACATACTTTCATTTCATTCACTTCATTTTCTTTAACTCTCACTTTCCACTACTAATTTTCATCTAACCAAACAGAGTAGAGATAGAAATAGAAATAAAAGAAGTTCAATGAAAATTTTCCAAACATTTTAGAAATTTGGATTGTAGTAACTAACAAAAAAAAAAAAACTCGGAAATTTTTTATTTTTTTTTATAAAGTCTTATGAATTTACAATAATGTCTATTATTTTCTGATATGTTTCATGCTATTTAAAATATACAATAAAAAATTTATTTTCCTTTTATTGACTTCACTTTTTTTAACTTTCATTTTCTACTATTTCTTTCCATATAACTAAAGAGAGCCTTGGATAAAATTCCAAAAAAAAAAAAGAGAGCCTTGGATTTCTTGGTTTCTTTTCCTTGAGAAACGGTATGCTAAGAGTGTTTATTAATTGATGCCAGAACTTCCCAAACCTAAACAACAAAATTTCAAACTAAAACACTTATTAACAAGGAATTGGCCCCATTCTTGAGCAGTAGAGTTCATAGGAACTTTAATCAATTGATGCCTGCGTTAATATGATTCAGGATTCAGTTTTTTGCAAGACATATCCACTGTCCTAACGCTCATCTGTCATTAACTTTTAATTCCACTCTAAATATGATAATGGTGGATAAAACAAGCTTAAAACGAAAATCATAAAAAGAAATACCAACAAAATTTGCAGCAGCCCAGTGAAACTCTCAGACCATGAAGAGAAGGTAGGAATTGGCTGCAGAAAACAGCATTTACTGGAGATCTAAGACCATATTTGAGCAGGGAAAAGGCACTAAAAACAAAACCAGCATCCCTCGCAGACTTTTCATTTTTTCATACTAAATTCATGGTGTAACCAACTAAAGATCTACCTACCAACTACAAATCAAAACACAAAGTTTTCATTTTTCATACTAAAGCTATACCTACCGAGTTACCAACTACTAATCACAACACAAACTTCTCATTTTTCATTTTTTATTGGCAAGTAAACTTTTCGTTTTTCATTTTTCATTTGTGAGTACACTTCTCATTTTTCACCAATTACAAACCTACCTCACTCAACAGCTATATATATATATATATATATATAGCCCAACGATACAATACTTAGTACCATTCGTCTCAACTCTATAACTCAACTCTACAGTAGTTATGAAGACCTTCCTAGCCTTTCTTATGGTTGTCTCAACCATACTGCTTGCAGTGGCCAAACCGGCCACTAAATTGATCATCCACCGTGATGATTCACTTCTCTCCAACCTTAGTGCCGCAGATATAGAGCACTCAATGGCTAGATTTGCATATTTATATGCAAAACTAGCTGGAGTGGTTGGGGAAGTCGTTCCCCAAAACACATTATTTTTCGTAAACGTTTCGATAGGTGAGCCACTTGTTCCACAACTGCTGGCACTGGACACGAGCACGGGCTTATTATGGGTTCAATGTGTCCCGTGCATCAATTGTGCAACCCATTCGAGTCCCACATTCAACCCTTCCATGTCAGCCACATACACGAGCCTTCCATGCAAGTCGTTGTACTGCCGTCAGCTTCCAATCATCAATGGATGCGACTTCGAAGAGCATTGCAGGTATGCCATTCCAGGAGATGACAACACGATGACGGAAGGACACCTCGCAACTGAAAAGTTCACATTCATCACTTCGGATGAAGGCATAAGTGATGTCTCCAATGTTGTGTTTGGTTGTGGACACCAAAACAGGGCGGACTTGGGCAAAAGGAATGGGGTTCTGGGACTTGGACCTGACCATGAATCTAATATATCTCTGCCTTACCAATTGGGTTCTAAAACATTTTCTTATTGCATCGGCGATATCAATGATCCTCACTATGATTACAACCGATTAATTATTGGGGACCGGGCGAAAATTGAAGGCGATTCGACTCCCATGGAAATCCACAAAGGGCTATATCATCTCTCCTTAGAAGGTATAAGTGTGGGCGAAAAACGACTCAACATCAGACCAGGGATATTTGAACGAGATTCAATGGGCAATGGTGGTGTGGTCATTGACTCCAGCTCCACCGTGACCTATTTAGTAAGGGGTGGGTTTGAACCCCTCAGTGCTGAGGTACAAAGTCTAATGGATGGACTATTGAACAGGGTGAGCAATCCTAAAAGAGATGACCATCTTTGCTACAATGGAGACATCACCCGCGACCTCACCGGATTTCCGGTGGTGACGTTCCATTTTGCCCGAGGGGCAGAAATGGCGTTGGACGTCAACAGCCTTTTTCGACAACATTCCCCAAATGTATTCTGCATGGAAGTGCTGGTCTCTCATCAGATGAGCCTACTAGGAATTATGGCTCAACAGTCCTATAATGTTGGCTATGACCTAAATGGTATGAATATATACTTCCAAAGGATAGATTGTGAGCTTGTGGACGAATGATCTCCTAGCTATATGCTTGGGAATAATGAAGAAATTTTCTATTTGTAATATCAAAATAAATTTGTAGACTTTTATTGACAGTAGAATTTTAGAAACTAGATCTCAATCATAATATTCATAAACTAGATAGACTATTTCATTTGTCTATATGAGTATTTATGCACAAAAACATGCTTGATGTATGCTAATGGATTCATGTTTCGCAATCTCGAACTATTCGGATGAAGATGAAAGTATGTGTTTGCTTGTGAAAAACCTAATTATAGTGTTGAAGAAATCACTTGCTGGTGAATTTACGGGATACTTTCAAGTTAGTTAGATTTGCAATCTCCAAGGGAAATTATAAATTTTAACAAAAGCTGACACTGATATGAACCATTAGATTTTGTTTCTCAAGCAGCTCATTTCAAAACAATGCACGTGCCAGATTGAACTGTATTACTTTCCTCTCAACGACTAGTGATTTTTGTTTGATTTTTGCTTTATTTATTTTTATTTTTTGAGATGTTTCCTCCTTAAGTGTAATGCACAACAAATTAAACATTTGTGTAAGATGAGAGTTGATCATGTGATGTTTCACATGGGGAGAAGTTGTTAGCACTTATAAGAGAATGTCTCCTACTTGTGTAGATGCATTTAAGAAACTGTGAATAAGGAGAGTGTGCGAAAGCGGATAATACTACATGGGACGGAGCTTGACAATTGGCATTATAGCCGATCTTTGGCCGAAAATCAATTTTAGTGTGCTCAATCTCGTGAGGATTAGGCCAGCGAAGATGTTGGGTCCTAAGTCTTAAGAGGGAGTGATTGTGATGTCCCACATAATTCTACTTGGGCCCCAAAAAACTAAAGAAGAAAATGCTATATAGTTCAACTGCCAATTAGTATACCACTCTTTTGCAGTAAACTTAGCTTTGGATTTTCATTTGCTTTCCAGGGCAACAATTGACTCAATTTGCAGTTAAATTGCTATTGTGCGGACCATGTAAAATAAACAATTAATCAAGAGGAGGATAAAAGAGTTTTTTTATGATAAAAGTAATGAATTTTCTACATTTAATCACAGGATGAGACAGTTTATCGAGATTGATGAAAAGTCAAATGTCGGAGGGCTCATGAGTCTACAAGATGGGCTAAGCTTAAAGAACTCCCAATAATGGGCCTAATCCATCTAAGCCCAATTTAAATTTCTTCTATGAAGCCGACATAAGTTTGGTGGAAGGTCTCGCAGCCCATTGGCATATTAGGCCCATTTAGTAAAGAGAACCCATCTGACAATGGATGGCCGAGATTTCATACATCCGATTCCAATTCATCTTCACCGTCCAAAACTAGGGCAAAACTCGACCTCATCAAGCCTCTCGCCTTTTAAACACTCCTTACTCCAAACCTCGCTCTCTCTGCGCGGAAGCTAGGGTTTTGTTCATTCGTGAAGAACGAGTCGACCTTCACTTCGCGATAAGGTTTGTCTCTAAATCAATGGATAGTCTTCGTTTACGTGCCATTCAATTGGTAACCTTCAAGTTTATTATATGATCGACTGAAGTTTTCGCTGAAACGTTTCATTTTTAAAATTTTCACTAATTTCATCTGTTCTAACCTCCACTTTTCAAGTCATTTTATGTTGGATTTGCTTTTCCTCTGCTTTTTCAATAATGTGGAGACATCGATTTATTTCCATACATTTCACATATGAATGTGCTTTTATTTGTGTGTGCATAACTGTGTATCTATGCATGTTTTATTTGTATACTCTGAACTTGCCCTCTCTCTCTGCAACTGCAAACTACAAAATCTACAAGTATCAGAAGTACAAAACATATATATTTCAATTTATCTATCTGTCTGCAAGAATCAAAAGTTCAAAACCTATTACCTATATCAAAACCCATATCGGCATATCATTTTAGATTGTTCAAAAAATCAAAACCCATATCTTTCAGTTTCCATTGCCCGCTGTTCCAGTTCGGGTTTGCCGTTAGCAAGCTTCAGCTGCTGGCCTGCTGTCTCTCAACTCTCAAGCTTGCCCCCCTCTAACTTGTACGTATGGTTTTTGTTTTAATTTTTTTTCTAAATCAACTAATCAAGGCCTGTAAAGACTAATTCTTGTTTTGCAAACTAAATCCTATTTGGTGAAATTTTTTATGATCTTTTTATTTTTATTTTTATTTTTTTTTATTACAATATAAAATTTGCTTGCATTTCATTTTGAGGTAATCACCGTAATCTACATTTTATTTCAGTAAAACAAATATAGATTTTTTTATTTCTATAACTTTTATTTTTTTATTTTTTATTTTTGTCAATTATGTCTATACAAGAAAATTTAAATCTGGGCATGAAAAAAGAAAAAAAAAAAAAAAAAAAAACAATCTGCATTGGACTGAATTGGATTAGGAATCTGCAGATACTGAATCCGAAACAATTTTTATCAACATGCCAAGCTTTTTGAAGATGGAAATCTTTTCTTTTCAGAACTAAAAAAAAAATCATAACAAGAATTTTGACAAGCAAAAGTACTTAATATTGGGTAAAGCTCCAAAGTTACTACTTGAAAATTAAAATACTTACAAAAAGCATGCTTTTGAGTGAATTCCATAATGTTGGAAGGGGCTTGCCGTGAACTACCTCACACTCTGCTTCCACTAGCACATTCTCAAATAGGATTAGTAAATTGTTCCGGTTCCACTAGTACTCTGATATTGATTTGTTAATTTTGAAGATTATCTACGGATAGGTGTCCAGCATTTTGACTGAAAGCATAGTTGGATTGGGATGATACAAATTGTGCTTAGATGGTGATGTTTTAATTGTTATGAGTGAGATTGTGAAACATTTTCCTCACAACTTGAGTGTTTTCTTATTTTTAGAGTTAGCATCGAGCCTTAACATTTAGCAAGAATAAGGTTCAAGAAACATGCCTCCTCAATCATCAGGTAACCAACTCTTACTTTTTCTAACATTTTAATTTGCATTTTTAGCTGTTGGTTACGTTTATTTATTCATGTTTCATATATTGATTTTTTGTTTTTGTTTTTGTTTCTATATACATATATATAATATTGTTATGATGTGATGCTTGAATAATTCATTAATGGGAATTAAAGACTTGGAAGTTTAGTTTCCAATTTCAGAATATATGTTTTACAAGTTGATTAACGCTTTTAAAACTTTTCCTCTTTTGTCCTAATAATATAGGTCTCCTTTCTGAAAGAAGAGAGTTGATGGGAATGGGTGGAGTAGGGAAAAAGAAAATTGGTATGTTTTTTTTGCCTAGCTAATTGAATTATATAAATCCAGTTACCGTTGTTGGTTTTAAAATGACCAATTATGATAGGAAGTCTTTTTTCAGTTTATCTTAATCAAATGTATATCTATACAAGAGGATTACGTGATTCTAGATGACGATTCTAGATGAGGATGTTGATGTCAACGTTATGAGGATGTTGATGTCAACGTTGACTCTAGTGATGACGACGGATTATATTGATAATTTGTTGATGCATTCAAATTAAGTCAAAAGCACTTAGAATTGAAGGAAATTTAGAGTTGAAGACATATTATTGAGCATAGTGTCTAATTCTTTTAGTTACAAGAATCTTTGGTCACTTCACACGTGATGTATGTAATATGATTCATTTACTTGGGTTCTCTTCTTTTTCATCTCTCTAAACCTTAATTTTATCTGTGAAAAAGAAAAGAAGACTCTATGCACTATGCAATTTTAATTTAACTTTATCAGTTTGAGCATTGACAGAGCTTCTGAAATGTTGAAACTGTAACAACAAATAAGAGAGAGTCCATCAATAAGAATTACCCAACTTAGGACAAAATAAGTTCTGTCTTGACTAATATTTGCATGGGAGACTTCTATAGATATGGACTTGTAGAGTGAAAGATATATGGTTGGGGGCGCAAAAATGTTCGACAACTGTGAACCAACGATAGGGTTGTGAGCTTTTAGCTTGCTTCATGCATCGGATCTAGGAAGTGTACAACAATGAAATGGAAAGCTCTAATGCACTCAAAGTTACATATAGAGACAATAATTAATATTATATATTTATAACTTTACTAATATAATATGATACTACGTATATCATACATATATACATACATATATATATATATATGTTTGTAACTTTATACTGGGACTTAGATATATTTTGATTTAGCCCACCCCATTGAGAAATCCTGGATCCGCCCTTGTCTACTCCACTCCCCCCTTGAAATAATTCGATTAAAGCTTATGCATTTCGTTGATTCTGCCTCCGCTCGACTCATTTGTAAGCGATTGGGATCTTCCGACCTGCGTCCTCCGTACTCCACCACGACCACCAGACTAATGTTGTTGCCTGAGTCCTAGCTCTGTAATGTCACCACCGGAATGCGACTGTTAGTCAAGGGAGTCCAAGTTGGACTATAGTATTGGGTTGGGCTTTCTGGCAAACCTCCATGGGATGGTAATTTTTTACTTTTATTTATTAATATACATAAACAAATTCTTAGGTTTGCATAAAAATTCAACTTTATCATAACTCATTAATAAGAAATATTTCAGTAAAATAAATGAGTCTCCATAAGTGATTTAATAAAGAATAGGATAGTGTTGATAAGGTGGGTTTATGGATCGTACATTTTAGTGTTGATAATTTTAATTTTAATTTTTTATTAGTACCTATTTGAATCTCTCTTGCGTGCCTATCTAATCAAATTTCATTTTAATACCAAGTGATTCATTTATACTGGGATCACTTGTTGGTACTGTATGATTATACTGGGATACCGTCTACAAGTGATCCCAGTATCAAGGGAATTACTATAAATTTTACAAAATTTTCTCATGGAAGAACGATATTTAAATAACAATATACACTATTTGGAGATTTTTTACATGGATAGTGCACAAAGTGTTGTTCATCCAAGTAATTTTTATATTGTCATGTGCTAGACAGTAAAATGGTTGGTTTTTCTTATTGGAATTAGATTTCAAGGTTCTTTGTATTGAAATTAATTGGTAAATTTATTATGCCCATTGCCATGGGTTTCAGTAGGTTGATATTCGAAGCTGTGTGTATTATGTCCATGAAAAACATATTATTTCTCTTTCTGTTTGATGCACAAGTATGCCTGATTTCTTTTTGAAGATGGGAAGTGATATTGATAAATACCTCATGGGGTCGTTCCCAAATTTGCTGATTTGTGGTATTAATATATGCAGGATCTTCTGAAGCATCATATCTTCCTTCTTATGTTATTTTTTCTTATTACCTTATGTGGTTTGAGTTAATTGTAGATTTTGAAGGTATTCTGTTGTATATCATCTTCCCTCAAATGATTTAATGAGCATTCTTTGATTTTACCTGTTTATCTGTTAGGTGTACCGCCTACTCATTATTTAATGAGTTGTGTTGATAATGCCTTATAGTAGATGGAACAGTTCATGCTAAAACTGATTTAATCATGGCAAATATGCTTAGGATATATATCCTAGGTTGGCATGGGTAATTGAAAGTGTTACTTACCGTTTCAGATATTATCTGTGCTATTGTTGGCACAAGGAGGTTCGTGCGACAATGTTTGGGATTTTAGATAGTCGGGTTGTGTCGATCTCTTACTGGTTGGTCCGACATGGAAGCGAGGTTATCTAATAAGACCTTGACTTTATGTAAGGATACATTGGAGAACCATGCTCTCTTTTGGTAATGAGTGCTCACGGTTTGGAGGCGACAGTCGGATTTTGTAGATAGTTGAACTCGTACCCGATTTCGGGTTGAGGTTGGATTGGGACAAGCGTTAGGCCAACAACTCCCAAACCAGATGGCTTTAGGGACTTCAGCATTGCACAACCATTCTATGTTTCGCTTAGCCATACACTGACTCCAAAAACCAATGCAACAACCTATCTCAAAACAAACGTGAGCCCTTACCACAATGGTAAGACTCTTACAATCCATCTTTGAATCTAAGGGTACATCGACTGCGGAATTCAGAGGTTGAACAGAAGAGGAAAGTACTGTTGATCATCGAAAAGGAAAGAACAACACATTAGGACATCGTTTCCCACTTAGGACACAATTACCTATATGGTATATGTTCAGAGTTACCAAAATACCGAAAATCCAAGTTTCAGTTGGATTCTGTCTAGTGGGAACCGGTTGGAGAAATGGGAACCAGTAGCAAAGTACGTCGGAAATCTTCTGACCTTCTTGAACCGGTAGCCAATTTGGGAACCGGTAGCTCTTGAACCGGTTGGAATTGACTGTGGTCCTGAAAAGATGGCACTTGGATACTATGTGCTATGCATGAAAGATGTTAAACACGAAGTGTGCAAATCATTACACAAGGCAATAATATATTTAATAAGGAAAACATATTCTCATGAATACAAACATAGCAACTATGTTATCCAATGTTCAAAACGTAACCAAATGAATATACAACAAGTCCAAGTCCATGATTTGAATATAGAAACCACTTCTAAAACACAACTAGATCATGGAGCAAATTGATAGAATTTAAATAGATAAACACAATTAAATTCTCTAGATTCTGATTCAATTCCAAATAACCTCAATTTAATTGGCCTTATTATAAACATGTCAAATACATCTCAAAAGCTGCACTTATGTGCACATTACATATTTAAAACAAAATATACATATTTTGACATATTAAACCAAAAGTAAGGCAATTCATGCTAACAAGTGCATGAATAAAGTCCTACAAAATATCCCAAGCATCGAAAGTGATCTAGGGATGTGATGCATCCCAAAATAGAGTTGTATGTCGGTTTCTGCAATGGTTTCGTTGTGAAATTCCTTGTACAGGAGTTGTGACATTTATTTTGTCTTAAGTTGTCCACTTCCCTAAGGTGGGAAGTGCCTAGTGGTCCGTGGCGTTAATGCGATCTAGAGGGAACTAGGGAGAGACCCTAGCGTGGTTGAGCAACCAAGGTCTAGAACGACGCCATGGAGGTGCCATGTGGTCGAGGATAGCTACCCAATCTTTCCCTCGTGGCGCCAAAGAGGTGCTATGGGTCGAGTTGCATTAACGATTTGGAATGGTGAAACGGAATTATTTCGGAAAATGAGGAGCCAAATAAGAGCTTAATTAAAGCAATTCTGGGATTAAACAAAGAAAAGAGCAAAGTGGAGAAAGAAGAAAGCAAATGAAGCCAAAGGTGGGAAATAGCAAAGTTCGATGGATCCAACTTCAAGTTTCGATCGATTGAACAATAATCGATCTCAGCACCTCAAGATAGATCCAAGCCTTGGCCCAACAGTATAAAGTCCAAAAGTTCGATCCTTTTTCCTTTCACAACCTCAATTTTTGTGCTCAGATTTGATTCCGGTTTTGCATGCATTCATGATATTTGTTTTCCATGATAGTGGTATTCTTACTTTTCTAGAAAAACATGTTGTTGTTGTTGCCACCCACCGTTTATGCCAGCAGCTCCCCTCGAGCCATGAAAGCCCGCGGGCGCTCGCTAGCGTACCGCGGGCGGATCGATCTTAAGTCATTCCAGAAGTCGTGCCAAGTTTTTGAGAGTTTTGTTTAGAAAAGGATTGATTGCATCCTAATTAGGATCGATCGTTGAGATAGATGATCCCGGATTCGGATCGGGATTGGAGGTTGGTGACTAGGCCCGAGTCCGACTCGGAAGTGACGGTGTTGAAGAAAGTGGTGAGAGTTATGAGGAGGAAGATGAGATGGGTGAAAGATGATTGCAGATATGTGAGAGTGCAGAGAGAGAAACTCGGTTACTGTCGCTCCGGCCGGATCCGGCCAATCAAGAACCCGGATCAGTTGAGACTCACCGGAACTAGATGAACGGAGCTCGCTGTTGGGTCAGTCCAGGCTCACATCGGATTTCATGTAAGTCAAAGCCTAGAGCTCTTGTCGGTTTTCATCGACGTCGAAGCTCAGAAGTCGCCGAAACAACACGTTAATTTGGGTACTTGAAAAAAGGGATGTGGATTTGGCTAGGATACAATAATACTTGAGTTGTTATCTGTATATATATTAAGATTTATATTCATTATTTTTAAGAAAAGGGCCACTGCTTGGTGGATTGTAAAAATTCGGGTTGTAAAGGATCAGAATGCAAATTTGAGTTTGAGAAAAACCACTTTGTGTAAATAATACCAATGTTAGGTCGTTAAATAGTTCCATCCTTCCAGCATACTGGACCACCCTGAATAATGGCTTTCTTCTTTGTCGTTTTTTTATATTATAAGAATCTATGTAATATTGAAGTTGGCATGAAGCTTGTGTTGCACGGGCATGGGCCAGGCAGCCACTTAACAGAAAAATTTTACCTGTTGGGCACAGCTTGAATATTGTATCGTGTTATTTTGTATCCATTTGTAATGCATTTTCCATTCATTTATGTTTATACTTTCCTGATCTAAAAAGGCTTTATTTATTTGTACAGTTGAGGAGTTGCAGGGTTTTTGTGACCCAAATCCCATAGAATATACTGATGTGGATGTAGGAGAACAACCTCGTAAGCCTGGGCTACAATCAGAAGCAAGCATGCAGCCTGTAATTACTGGGCCTACAGCCTGGTGGGAACAACCTCGTAAGCCGCTACAATCAGAAGCAAGCATGCAGCCTGTAATTACTGGGCCTACAGCCTGGCGGGAACAACCTCGTAAAAGCCTGGGCTTCAATTAGAAGCAAACATGCAGCCTGTAAACTACTGGGTCTACAGCCTGGTGGGAACAACCTCTTTGACGTGGATTATGTTGAGGAAGATTTGTAATGTAGCCCTCCTGGAAGGATAGGGTTATATGTCGTGCCAGCGTTATGCTCGGTATGACAGTGGAAGCAGCAAAAGGACAAGAGCACGCTAAGGAATTGTAGATAGCAATCATCAAGGGGTCCCATTGTACTCGAAACGGCTTTATTTATTCCTACAGGAGGTTTTTGTGACCCAAATCCTACAGAATGTACTAATGTTGAAGGAGTGTTGTACTGGGCGTTCGTTGATATGGATAAGATTTGTGAACAATATCAGTAATGATACCAAGGTCCTCGTGGAAGGATATGGGTATCTGTTGTGCGAGCGTCTCAGCTACGCTCCGAATGACAATGGAAGCAGAAAAAGGACACGCTGGCGAATTTTAGGTAGCAATCATCAAGGGGTCCCATTGTACTCAAAACATCTACCTTACTACTTGGCTATGGATAATAATTCCGATTACCCAAGTTATCGGGGTAGAGACCCTTTATAATCGCAATTCTTCGGTTCTTATTTTGTTAAGCCTTCCCTGAATCAGAGTTTTGGCTTTTTTGTTTGCTCAGTTTTCAGCAATATAGTGCAACATAGAATATAAATTTATATTTTTATTGAATTGTTTTCAATAATGCTTTGTAAAATAGATATAAACTGTAAAAAATGCCTTGTTTTCTATATTTTCATATAGAGTAAAAGCTTTTGTTTGGACTGCCAGTTAGGAATCGCTGGCTTTCGTCTTCTCATTATCGGGGAAAACAAATATGGGTTTTGGCAGTGGCATGGTAGACTTGTACATTGATTGTCAGAGGTGGAAATATATGACTACTCCTCCATCAAGAATGATTTCAAGTCAAATCTGCATAATGTCTTGATCTGAGTCGGCTTGTATAGCATTTTAGAAACTAGATCTCAATCATAATATTCATAAACTAAATAGAGTATTTCATTCGTCTATTTGTATTTATACACAAAAACATGTTTGATATATGCTGATGGATTCATGTTTCGCAATCTCGAACCATTCGGATGAAGTTGAAAGTATGTGTTTGCTTGTGAAAAACCTAATTTTAGTGTTGATGAAATCACTAGCTGGTGAATTAAAAAAGTTTGGAATAATGTTGTTGGTAGCATTCAAGACGGGTATCATTACTCTTTCATAAATCACCAAGTGCATAAAATGAAAAAATAATAAAGCCAACATAAAAAAGAATATTTATATTCCTAACAAGTTTAGTTATTTTTGATAAGTAATCTAAACTAAAATATTTATATTCATACCAAGTGGTATAAAATGAGAAAAATAATAAATAAAAAAATCAAATAAGAATATTTATATTCATAGATAGGAACTGAGGTTCGATTTCCTTCTTGAGTCCACAGAAAGAGCAGAGAGCTAGTCCCACCAGCAACGGCATGGGAGAAAAGACTTCATCATCTACGCCACCATATTTTTGAGAAAAAATAAGAAAAAAAAATTCACGTATATAAACTGAAAAAATGAGTTATTGGAGCAGACTGCAGATTATGAGATACGAAATAAAGAAAAATAAAATTAGAAAGGTAATCTTTACAAAGACAAATGGTTTATGATTCATCAATATGACAATAACTAATGGGACACCTAACTGCAGTTAGGTGTCTAAATGTGATGGTGTGAAAACAAATGGGCAATTCTTGGGTCCTGCCATGGCGACTAAATGGTCCTCTAAAATGATTTGGACCGGTAAAAGTCTGACATCTGTTTAAAAGTAAAAAAGAAAAAAGAAAAAAGAAAATTAAAGATGGAACATACATATGTTTTACGGTTAGGTGTCTCATAGCGATGGTGTCAAACCAAATGGACAATACTTGGGTCCTGATACTCTGAGGTGACTTGGACCAGTGAAAGTCTAATATCTATTTAAAAGTTTTTATAAAAAATTGAGTAAAGTGCACTAAATCTTCCTAAATTTTATTATCTCTCAATAAATCCCTTAAACTATGAGAAAGACACTTAATTCCTTAAACTATTTAATTTGTTGCAAATGTTAAGTTTTCATTAGAAATTTAACAAAATATTTGGCACGTGAAGGCCAAAAAATTTTAAAAGACAAAATTAGCACTTCTGGCCATCAGTAGATAAAATATGATATATATCTCTATATATACATATATACATTTGTGTGTATGTACAAAACCCAACCCTCCATCTTCAAACCCTCTTTCAGGGACACATTCACAAATAAAATGCTGAATTGAGTAATCAAACAGCAGGCATTGATTCTGTATACATTGGGTGAGTTATTCCCTTGTCAAAATTTCATATACAAATACTTTTGTAATATTAATCGATACACAAATCAACTTAAAATCAATTTTTTAAGGTTTACGAATATTTAACACCCCTGTAGTATGTATATACTAGTTCATTTAACCTCCTATAGGTTCTGAAAATACTGTAATGTTTATTGTAGGTCTAAATGAGAACCTCTAGTCAATTAGTCGTTAACGGAGTGATAAATATACTAAAATATCTTTCCTACAAATAAAAATAAATAAAAAATCAAAGATTTATATACAAAAGGGAATGACATTTTAGAAATCAATAAAGAGAAATTTTAGTATTTATTAAAATTTAATAAGTTAATGAGTCATGTGCCAGTCACATTTTTTTTAACGTATATTTTTAATGGTAATCTCAACATAATTTAATGGTTGAGATTGCATCATCACTAATGGATCTCATTTATCAATTCAATCTCAACCACTAAATTCTGTGTAGGATCTCTCCTGCACCGGAGAGGATCCTTGTTGGTGTTAGATACTTGACTCATATTTGAATGATAACTCTTTTACACTATGAAAAAAAATAAAAAAATAAAATAATAAAAAAATAATAATATATGTAACCAAGAGGCTGGGAACTGTTAAGAGAGTGCTGGAGTTAAGTAGCGCAAATATATTTAACCATAAATTAAAAAGCCATAGGCAAAAGCCCACTAACTAATTAGTACCAAGAATTTTAGAGCTGGCCATTAATTAGAGGAACTTCTAAAATATATATAGCACATTTATTCTTAAATTTTCTATGTACTGAAATCTAGAACAAATGTGTTAGAAATTGAATTTAAGTATGTTGAAATCTCTTATAAATATTATTATTCTTAGTTATAAATATTATTATTCTTAGTTTCAATACCCTTTTTTGTGTTTCATGCATGCCATGCATGGTCGTTTAAAAAAATTGAGAGGGATAAGACTATGAGTTGATCAGCTTTTGATAAAAAAAAAGGAGTAATTTTTATTTATTTATTATTATAACTCCTCGTAATTCCCTTGATACTGGATCACTTGTTTGTACTGTATGATTATACTGGGATACTATCTGTAAGTGATCCCAGCATAAATGAATCACTTTGTATTAAAATAAAATTTGATTAGATAGGCACACGCAAGAGAGATTCAAATAGGCACTAATTAAAATTAAAATAAATGAAATCTGAACTCTCATACATTGATTTTGTAGACATTGGATGACTTCTTCTCTTGTCAAAATTTAATGTTAATAGATACAAAACTCAACTTAAAATTAATTTTTTTTAAGGCTTATTAACTTTTAACACCCTTGTAATATATATATATAATTCATATAATCTCCTATAGGTTCTGAAATTCCTCTAACCTTTATTGTAGGTGTAAATAAAGACTTCTAGTCTGATCATTAATGAGGTCATAAAAATATTAAAATACCCTTCCTATAATTAAAAATAAATAAAAATTTCGTTAATGTAAAATTACTATTATATTCTTTATTTTTGAAATTTATATACAATGACGTTTTGGAAATCAATAAAGGGTAATTTTAGTATTTATTAAAATTTAATAAGTCATATGCCAGTCATATATTTTTAACATTATATTTTCAACGGTAACAAACGAAAAGTCTCTTTACTATATTTTTAAATTCTTTAGGGAGTTATATACCAAGGTAAAAAAAAGATGTTATTTGTTCAAAAAATAAAGTGTTTTAAGATACTTAAAGCATATTTGAATGATAACTCTTTTACACTGCATTGAATTTTTTTTTTTTATATATGTAACCAAGTGGCTGGGAAATTTTAAGAGAGTGCTGGAGTGAAGTAGCTAAAATATATGTACCCAACATTAAATTAAAGAAGCCATGCACAAGAGCCCACTAACTAATTAGCACCAATAATTTTAGAGCTGGCCATTAAAGGAACTTCTAAAATAGATATAGATGGAAAAAAGAGCCTACGTAGTACAAATAAAATTGTAGATACCCAGTAAAAAATTGGTGAAATATGTACAATAATATATATATATATATATACACACACACACACACTTGTGATGAATTATGCCATACACAAAACACAAGTAAATCTAATATATTATAGTATCATACTCCCAACACAACTGAAATTCCAAATACAACTTGCTATCTTCTACAGTAAAGAACTTTTAGGATAATTTGTTGAATCTAAAACATATCACAAAGCTTCAACTGGTTTCCTACTTGGAGTCCGAATACGAACACCAAACTATAAATATAACCCCTCAGACACTCCTCCATTACATCAGAGTTAATTCAGGATGAGAACAACAAAGGCTTTCACGTTGGTTTTTGTTCTTCTTTTCGTTTCAGGTAATCTTTGTTTTTGGGTTTGTTGTTTTGTTTAGTAATTCATTCTCTCAGTATAAAAATAAGGCTGTTTTTGTAGAAGTACTCGTTTTTTTAATCGAAATTTATTTTTTACCCACTTGTTAAAAAATAATTTTAGTTTCAGAAAACTATTCTCCTACTCGTTTTTAAGAACAATTTTCTGTTTTATGCCAGGTTCACTTTTTTGAAAACTTGGTTATAAAAAAATCTGTTTCTCAAATAACTCTCTTTTATATTTCTATAGAAATAGTTTTCTGATTAGTGAATTTGGTGTCGTTCGTTTCTGATTTGAAGAAATTCATTAGACTAAACTATTCTTGTTTGAATTTTTGAAGAACTTTTGGTAGGATTAGCATTGGCTACCGAGCAGTCACCAAAGCTTGGAACAGTGATTGGAATCGATTTGGGGACTACATATTCTTGTGTGGGTGTTTATAGAAACGGTCACGTTGAGATTATAGCGAACGATCAAGGAAACAGAATCACTCCATCATGGGTGGCATTCACCGACACTGAGCGTCTGATCGGAGAGGCTGCAAAGAATCAAGCGGCCCTTAACCCTGAACGCACAATTTCGGATGTCAAGCGTCTTATTGGAAAAAAGTAAGTGAAATTTTACATGTTTGCACTAAAATCTTTGTGATTTTTGAGTAGAGTAATGATACAAAGTCCGAGAATTCATAATGATTACGTCAAATACATTTTACTTGTAAACTATTTATCATTATTCTTTTGTGAGTATTATAGAGTAATTAGATTTTGATCTACTGTGTCTTGGGTAGGTTTGATGATCCAGAAGTTCAGAGAGATATGAAGTTCTTACCTTATAAGATTGTAAACAAAGATGGGAAGCCTTATGTAGAAGTGAAGATGAAAGGTGATGTCAAGTTATTTAGCCCTGAGGAAATCAGTGCTATGGTTTTGGGGAAGATGAAGGAGACAGCAGAGGCGTATTTAGGGAAGAAAATCAAAGATGCTGTCATCACTGTTCCAGGTAGAATTTCAATTTCAATTCCTATTATAATCTCTTTCGCTTTTATTTACATGTCTATATAAAGTATGATCCCAAAGTTATATATATCCAACTCTTTATATGAGTGGGGATGACGTCATTCCTTATTCATATAAATTTAGTTGGATGTGTCACTCTCGGACTTTGTATCCTTAATTTTTAAGTATGAAAATTTTGTCACATGAGCAAATGGATGATTAATGTTGGGTTTTTTGTAGCTTATTTCAATGATGCACAAAGGCAGGCCACAAAAGACGCAGGCACCATTGCCGGGCTGAACGTGGTTAGGATAATTAATGAGCCCACAGCGGCTGCAATTTCCTACGGCCTGGACAAGAAAGGGGCAGAGAAGAACATTCTTGTTTATGACCTTGGTGGTGGTACATTTGATGTTAGCATCTTAGCCATTGACAATGGTGTTTTCGAAGTCCTAGCAACTAGTGGAGACACCCATTTGGGAGGTGAGGATTTCGACCACAGACTGATGGACTATTTCATCAAGTTGATCATTAAGAAGTACAACAAAGACATCAGCAATGACAAGAAGGCTCTAGAAAAGCTTCGCAAGGAATGTGAGCAAGCTAAGAGGGCACTAAGTGGCCAGCGCCAAGCTCGTGTGGAGATTGAGTCTCTTTTCGATGGTGTTGATTTCTCGGAGCCATTGACAAGGGCAAGATTCGAAGAACTTAACATGGACTTGTTTAAAAAGACAATGAGGCCAGTGAAGAAGGCTCTGGAGGATGCACGTTTGAAGAAGAATGATATCCATGAAATCGTTCTTGTCGGAGGGAGCACTCGAATTCCTAAGGTGCAACAGCTTCTCAAGGATTTCTTCGATGGCAAAGAACCGAGCAAGGGTGTTAATCCGGACGAGGCTGTGGCCTATGGCGCAGTGGTTCAAGGTGGAATCCTTAGTGGCGAAGGAGGGGAAGGAACCGAAGGTAAGAAGAGGAGATCTAGTACTTTAATTAATTTAGAATAACTATTGAATTAAACCAAAATTAATTAACTGAGAAAGTACTTTAAATGTGTAATGTGGTTTCTACTTTTTTGGTTTTGTGCAGACATTGTTTTGTTGGATGTTGCTCCGTTGAGTCTTGGTATTGAAACTGTTGGTGGGGTCATGACGAAATTGATCCCAAGGAATAATGTTATCCCAACCAAGAAATCTCAGGTTTTCACCACTTACCAGGACCGGCAGACCACAGTCTCAATCAAGGTATTTGGCAAATAAACACACGCATATATGTATATGTATGTTTGATAGATTAAGTTCTTCTTCTAGGACGTACAATTTTAGAAATTAAACTAATGTATGTTGGAAAATCTTTAGGTTTTTGAAGGTGAGAGAAGCTTGACAAAGGATTGTCATGAGCTTGGAAGGTTTGACTTGTCCGGTATTCCACCAGCTCAAAGGTAAGATAATAAAATTGCCATCATCTTATACTTAATAACTTAAGATTTGGTTTGCCTATAATGAAATTGAAATGTCAAAGAGTGTCAAATAGTAATGACAGGGAGTCCTCGTATTTAATGATATGATAATGTCATAATGTCAAAATATGCCAAATAAGGTGATAGTCATTTATATAGGATACATGCTGATTATGGTTGTGATGTTTCTTTCAGGGGAATGCCCCAAATTGAGGTCACCTTTGAGGTTGATGCAAATGGGATATTACATGTGAGGGCAGAGGACAAGGCAGCGAAGAAGTCGGAATCCATAACCATCACCAACGACAAGGGGCGCCTGAGTCAGCGGGAAATCGAGAAGATGGTAAAGGAGGCCGAGGAGTTTGCAGAGGAGGACATGAAGATCAAAGAGAATATAGATGCCAGGAACAAGCTCGAGACTTACATTTACAGCATGAAGAACACCATTAATGATGAGGACAAGTTCAGTGATAAGATTGATTCGGATGACAAGGAGAAGATTGATGGGGCATTGAGGGATGCCCTCGAATGGTTGGACGACAACCATGCCGCAGAGAAAGATGACTTTGAAGAGAAAATGAAGGAGTTGGAAGCTGTATGCAACCCAATCATAAAACAGGCTTATGAGAAGAGTGGTGGAAGTTCTGCTGATACTGAGGATGAAGAGCCTTTTGATGAGCTATGAGAAAAAAGCTGGATTTTAAGATTTCCTTTTTCTTTTTTTTTTCCCCTGTTTTAGAACTTTTTTCCTTCTACATTTCTTTAGGAAATTAGATTAGATATTGTTGTACCTACCACAATTTCTAAAGCATTGCGGACTATTGGTGAAGGGATCCGAGATATTTTTGGTTTTGTGCATATATATGATCCAAGATCTCCTCGGCCTGCGGGTTCTTTTTCTTTTTCTACTTGATTTCTATTCTTTAATTCAAAAGATTGTTTTTAATTCTTTCGAAGTCATTGGATCCTTTTCCTGATTCAAGAATCTCTTCCCTTCTTCCACTCTGTCCCAAAGAGTAACTAAGACCAATTTTTCCATGACAGTGTATGCTAATCTTCATAGAAACTTTAAACTAATCAAATGGGCTATGTGGTTTGATGTATTATTGTAGCTGATCTATGAAAATAAGCACTATTAAGATTTTGTATACAACAGCAACAACAACAAAAGGTAAGGTTTTAGGTTTTCAATGCCAATCTCATTTCATGATTAAATACTTTTTTGTATTCTCCCACAAGCTTGATGCGACGGTAATGTTTGTTGCAATTTAGTTCAGCAAAAATCTTTTTGGTAGGTTCTTGGTTCGTTGATTTTGGTAAGTTCCTGGTTCTCAATGCTGATTTCATTTAGTGATTATTTATTTGTTTATTATTATTATTATTTTGTTGTATTCTCTCACAAGTTTGACACGAGGACAATGTCAAGTTACTATATATATCTCCATCCTCACCTCTTAATTTCTTCATCCCACAACTCGTTTGTTTGTTGATTTCATACCGTTATTTCCGTACTTCCATTTCCATCTTCGGCAATGGCTGCTAAAATTTGCATTCTTTTATCCTTCAGTTTGAGTATTTTAGATTCTGTTTTGTGTGTTCTTGGCCTCTCCCGTTCAACTCAACAACTACCACTATCAGCGCCATCACTATCATTTCCTCGTGATTCATACCGCATGTCACTCCCAATCTACCCTCTATTCACAAGGAAAACCCAATTTAAAGACTTGGATTCTTTATTGATAGCTAGACTCCGAGATGACGCAGCTCGGGTGAAATCAATAGATGCTATAATGAACATGTACAAAACGAGGAAGGTATATGACATTCCTGTTTCCTCCGGATATGTTTTGTACAATGGAGATACATTTCAGTACGTTACTTTAGTTGGAGTGGGTCAACCAAGTCAGTATTTTTACTTCATACTCGACACTGGTAGTGACCTTAATTGGGTCTATTCGGATCTCTGCAACGTTTGTGGACACGACTTATTCTATAGGAATATGTCATCCACCTACAAAGAGATCTCATGTTATATGGAGCAATGCCAATATGTCAGATACCACACGTGTTTGTACCAATCATGCTATTACGCTTTGCGATACGGTGACGGTGCATCCGCGGCCGGGATTTTGAGTCTGGAAAAGTTATCCTTTGGTATCAACTCTTTCAACAATCTACTGATCGGGGCTACTAGAAGAGCCCAGGATATAGCTGTCACACCTGGGTTGTTAGGGCTCAGTCGGGGCAAGCTTTCCCTAGTCTCGCAGCTCAATGCAAGCTCATTCTCTTACTGCCTCGTACAACACTCTTCGACAGCATCATCGACTCTAGACTTTAATACCTCCATACTACCCGGCTCAGATATCACTGCATTACTTCCTCATGATATCTTCTACCAAGTCACACTGACATTAATCAGTGTGAACCGGCAGCAGATTCCCGTCGTATCCGGAAGATACGACGGAAAGATGAATATTGACTCAGGAACTATAGTGACTCGTTTGCCGAGTCGCATTTACTATCAGTTTAGAGATGCATTTATTCAGACTTCTCGGGGCTTTTCAAATCGAATTAGCTATGACGGTTTTGACACATGTTATGAGTTTTATCATGTTGTAGACCCAATTTTCCCACTCGTGTGGCTTCATTTTGGCAAGACTATACTGCGATTAGGTCCAGCAAATGTTTTTGTGGAGCTTCCTTTGAGACTTTCCTTCCAACCAATGCAACTCCTATACTAGGAAACACGCAGCAACTAAATACGCGTGTAACTTTCGATCTCGCCAACTCGATTGTTGGTTTCAGTCCCGACGAATGTTAGTGCGCCTTATGTTGGACCAAGTTTTGTACCATGAGAAATAAAATTTTAAAGTTCACTCGCTACAAGACATGTATAATATTTACATATGTTCTAATAGATACTTGTTAATATAAAGAAGATTTAAGTAAGGCTATGGCCTTAAATTTGAGGGAAATGAAAACATGAAATTCATATAGCAACTTTCAAATAATTAGAAAATTATTCTACCAATCAAACTATAAGAGCTTTCTATCCTTTATTTATTTATTTTTGTTATAGACAAAATTGTCCCTCAAATTATATGAGACGCTACCTACCCCAAGTTTAGCATCAAAATCAAGAGTTTTGCTCTCCCATCATTCAAATAGCAAAAGAAAGTATGGGCAAAATCATGATAAAAACGGCCTAACAATACCAAGACCACAACAAGAAAGGAATACACCCATATTTCACCATAATACACGTCCATATTATATATATGTGGTGGAGAAACTGGTGATGTAAATTACTTTATATATATATATATAAAGTAATTTACATCACCAGTTTCTCCACCACACTTAACCAAAAATATATAATTTGCATAAAGCAGTTCATATATCATACGAATTATGTCACAATTTCTTTATAAAAAGGAAGCATATATCCCTTTGATGAGTACTACCAGTATACTAGAAGGCTTATACATAACTAAAATATTGCAAAATTGTAGCCTACAGATGACATGAAACACACACAAACCCATGTGTATATATAGAGAAAATTTTTACGTTTCCATTTAATTACATGTCTAGATGACAGCAAAAGATAGGGAGGAGCGGAGACTTACAGTAGGTATAAGTGACCAAGCAAAAAGCAAAATGGGTCTCTTTAGAAAGTTGAAATTTCTATATCAAACTCAATAGCTGCAGTGTTATTTGAATCCCGAAATAGGCCCGCCCTACCACCCTAAAATTTTTTGAGAGGTGTTAAATAAACTTTAAACATGAGACCCTCTACACATAAGTTTCACACGAGTAAAAAGATATTATAAAAGTGCAAACTTTTCATTAAAGTAAATGTGATGAGTCGCAAAATTATTAATTAAAGTGCTCAAATCAACTTTCTCCAATATATCATAGATAAGATAGTTAATCCATTCATTTTAATTCTCATTCCTATCTTCATTCATTAAATCTCTATATTCATTAAGATTTTCTTCATTTCTATGTTCTTCATTCACCAAATCTTCAACTAAACTCTTAGTTTGTAGTTTGTGTATTTTTTCTAAAAAACTTATAAATAGCGCCTTTTTGATATTGAATCAATTCTTTTTTCTTATCTTTTATTTATTTATTTTTTTTTCATACCTATATTCTAATTTTCTTGTACACATAATTGTCAAAATTCTTAAAATCTTAAAAATCTAAATAATAGGAAACACAATCAATATAAAACTAAACTTAAAAAAAAAAAAATGATTTACCGAAAGAAAATATAGATTAACTCAATGGCTCAATATGCAATAATATGATTTACAGAAAAACAAAAATACCTCATGAGATTCTGATCATAAAAATACACCTGCAATCGATAATATTATATCATTCATAATAGAATTATAAAACAAAAAATATATATATATATATAGAGAATATGATTTACATGGTGGAAAAAATAAAACCTTTGTAAAAATTGGAGAAGTAGTTACAATTTATAGAGACAAGAGACTAATAGTTCAGCCATGAAAAAATGAAAATACTGGATAAGGAAGTAAAAAGCTGAGGAGCCAAACGGCCAACAGCCAAGAGCCTTCAAAGGGCACAAAACATATAAATAATTTTTTTTTTATGCAAGAGGGAACAAATATATGATAGTGCGTGCTTACTTTTAAGAAAGGAAAATGATAAAGGGGCGAAGTGTAACTCCCGAATAAACGACCGAAAAAGCCACGTCAGATTCTATAAAACTCTTGCTTGTGAGTAAAAGAGCCACTGACGTTGACCTTGAAGAACTTTCCCGTCAAAAACAGAGAAGACCGGAGATCTGAAGAAGATGGTGGGATCTCCGTCGGGGTTAACCTTCCAGATGTAGTTGTCGGCTACGTTGTTGGGGTCGTCGAAGGAGAGCGAGGAAGATTCGACTGCAGGTGCAGATGCGGAGACCGAAGATTTGGAGAAGATGGTGGGATGCGACTGTGATGGACTCCGGCAGTGATGAGGTCAGTGAGTTTGGTTTCATCGATGTGGCGGCCGTTGTCTGGCCTGAACCCTCGGCAACAAAGTCCGCCTCCTCTTCTTCCCGCCCCTTCCTCTAGCTTCCCCCTATGCCTTCGCAGCTGAAGGACCATCCTCATCACCGGCGACAATTGCCGGAGCTCCGACGATCTGCGAATCATCCATTTCGTGAATTGAATCATGCTTCATCAAAAAATGGGTTCCGAGCTTCCATGTGGAAGCTCAACTTGACTGAAAGAATTGAATATTTTGTAAAGTTCATCATTGGCTGAGCCCAGTGAAGAATCCACAAATGGTGCATGCATAACAAGTAACTGATGTTCTGGATAGAGTCCTATAAAAACATAAAGGCACAGCATATAAAATATTAGGCAAGTAGAACATACAACAGTTCATGGTTTGTACTTCTGCAAGAACCAAGGAATGATAGGGAGAAGAAATCCCCCATGTCAAGGAAAAGAAATGTGCAAGAAAGGCAATTAAAAACTTCAATCACTTTTTATCGTCTGAGACCCAATAGAATAAAGATCCCAATCAATCTAGCATGACACTACTTTTAACTCAGATTGAAATTTCCATTCTCTGGATCCTAGAACAACATGAAAAATGGGATTCTTAATTTAATTTCTTTTGCTTTTCCCCAAATTTATCATTTTTCATCAAGTCATCAAGCAAATCGTGAACCACCGTCGTGAACTGCCGCTGCCCATCATCGGATTGTCCCCATCGCCGGTCGCCGTCTGTCTCGTCGGATATCGAGAAATCATCGTCGCATATTGAGTTTCTTGATGGCGACGAATATCAGCCGGCCGTTCAACCCATAAGCCGGCTGTTCAACCCAGATTAGCCACAGCCGAGCCCCGAACCGCCCGTCACCGCCGCTGTGAGATCACCTTCCTTCCCCCTCCCTTCTTTTTTTTATTTTTTTTATTTCTTTTACCTACAAGTGATGAAGGGTGAGGATGGCTCTGCCACAAAAGATTCGGTCTTTTTTTTGTGATACATTTTGGTTTCCTATCACTGTTCATATTTTTTTTTTTTTTTTTTATTTTTTTATGTATATATACTTTGTGACAAATTATGACAAAGCTAAAAGTGCACAAAAAAAAAATCCAAGAAATGTACAGTGGAAACAAAATGAAAAACTAAGCATCGCACCCTGAACACAAGATTTAATGTGATTTGGGGTTTAGTTCACGTCTTATATTAAGATGGAGATGTACTATAACTTAATACACCCTTTTGTTCTTTCTCTCTATTTTAGGATTTTTCCTCTTCCTAGCGGAAAAAAAATACAAGCCTAGTACCTTTTTATATATATATATGTAGAGGTTACAATAAAGACGCGTCAAAATATTTCGTTCGGTCGTTGTTGCCACCTAACCTATATATATATATACTTTGCATCTCTGGAGGACGCATCAATTAAATCAACAACCGTGATTGCTTAGAAATTTTTTAAGGAAGGATGTGACATTAAAATTCTTTGGGTCGGGCAGTCACATATCAAGCCAACAATTCAATTTTCTGGCCATTTGCTATCCTCCATTTATAGCGATTTGATATTTTTTTATAATAATAAAATAAGAGGAAAAAAAAAAAAAAAAAACAGGGGAGGGAAGGGATGAAAGAAAAAGAAGAAAAAATTGCATTTTGACATTCGATATCGACTAGAGGGTTTCTAAACCGACAAGGCAATTTCGTGATTATTCTTATTTTTACTTTACTATATTATTCACTCTTCACTTACCTACCCAAAATATAATAATAAATAAATAAATAAAATCTAATATTAATACATAAAAACCATTGAAAATCTAATTACTCCCATACTAAATTCTTGAAAGTATCAGACAGAAATATTAAATGCACTATTACACGTTAACTTTTGAAATTTTAAATACAAAAACAAACAAAAACTATTTGTGAGCAGCATTCATGTGATATTTGTTTCACTCTAATAAATTATTGTGCTTCACATTATTATTATTGTGGGAATGCTAACATATACAATTTCAAATATAAAAAATCATTCCTTAGGCTCTGTTTGGTTGGATGGAAATAGTAAGAAAGGAAAGAAAATGAAAAATGAAAAGAGAAGTGAAGTGAATAAAAAGAAAATTGATTTTCTAGTATATATTTGATTAAGAGAAAATTTATCCAATAAAATATTACAATAATGCTTGCGGCCGCATAAGAAGAAACTTCCTTCTTATGTTATGTTGAGGTGGCCTAATAAAATTTTAAATTGCGTTAAAAATTTTAAGACAAAAGAAAAGAATGACGTAACTCTTCCTTCTTGAGATTATCGGAGGAACCGTCTCAACAAGTAGGGGAGTCAACCCCTTTTTAGCTCCCTGATTCAGCCCACTATCTCCCCCTGCAGGCGGGTATACCCACCCGTACCGATTATAATAACTCCGACAGAAGATCCTAGTAGACTTCTTAAGCGAAGGGATCGCTTTACGGGGAAAGCTCATTGAGTGAGAGATTTCTCGGTGCTTGCAAATAATAAAAACCCATATCCTTGCTCTCTCAAACCAATTCTCATTACGTTAATAGGAGAAGAAAAGAAGTGTCCCTCTCCCACTGTAAATATACATCTACACATATCTATATGTGGGTGTATATATATATTTTCTATTTGTTGAAGTTTTTCTTAAATTAAGATCATTGTTTAAAATCGTGAGACCAAATTTAAAATCAAATAAAGTTATATTATCTATCTTTCTCTTTCTAGATTTCAATCTCGTTGATTAATTTATAATTTGAATCGATCGGCATTGTCATCATCTTAGGGAGGAAATAGTTAACCGTTCTACTACAAGAAGCATTTGATTCTATACTTCCACTCGTGTTAGTTTTGGCAATGTCGTTTTAGGGTTCGACAATAAGTTTAGCTCCAAATCCATGAAGCCTAATCGGAATCGGATCGATTCCATGAAATGGGAGCTCGTACGCCAGTGGCCTTTTCATCAAAGCCACCGTTATCGGACTTTATTGGAGAGCCTGTTGATACTTCGAGATGGGAGATAACTTGTACAATTTTTATTCCTTGTAATCATCTTTTTCTTTTATCTTACAAGTTTAATACATGTTGAAGTTTTATTGGACTACCTCATCGTAAGAAGGAAGTTCCTTCTTATGTGGCCTAAGACAAGCATTGTTCAAAATATTATGTTATAGTTTAGATACCTAAATTGTCCTTATTTTATAAAAATTGTAAAATAATAAAAAATTAATTAGTAATATGTATATAAAAAATGATAGAGTTTTCAATTAATTTAGAACTTGTAAATTACTATTTATTTCATTCATATACGATGAAAAATAACTAAAATGAAAGTCAAATTAATTAAAACCCTATCAATGATAAAGTTGTTCGTGGACTACAATTCTTTGAAACCCAATAAAAAAAATACGATAAAATTATTGCGTAAAAAAATTATTTTCACGTGAAAATAAAATTTTCTCGTGTTTTACAATTTTACAATCTCAATTATCAGTCGTAGTCCAGGTAATTTTACAATTATTCTGACACTTGTAATTTGAATTACTGGATTAGATATCATCATGATAACTATATGGACTTTTAATCTTACCTCAGGTTTGGCCTAATTGCAATTAAATCGAAACTTTCCTATTTTTTTTGCAAAGACCCCATTGTCAGATTTTGTTGTGAATTTCCTTATCTACCCTCCTTATTATATTATAAAAGTAATCAAAATATCTAAATATATCAAATGTCAATTTTACCCCCTATTCTTACAACCCCACATTTGTTACTCAGCGTCAATAGATCAGATCAGTCTCCACCAATCCCCACCTCCATCAATCTCAGCCGTCTCTCTTTCAATCTCTAGGTACAACAACAGCCGCGCCACCACCATCGCAATCCCCACCTCGTCAACCACCACCACCACCATGGATTCCGCACCATTCCACCTCCACAAACACCGCCACATCCCCACAACCACCACCATCTTCACCCCCCAAACCACCACCACCACCAAATTTGGTCTCAAAAAGTACTCCCCCTAAATTTTTAATTTCTTTTTCTGTGTAGAATCGGTTTCCAAATCTAGTCTCAAAAAGTACTCCCCCAACATTTTTGACTTTGAATCTTTCTTCATCCACATCATCGGCTCAGGCTGGGTATAGAGAAAGGTTCGGGGAAAATGGTAGTGGACTATGCATTATGTATATATATATATAATATTGAAAGAAAATGGCAATGGACTATGCAAGTGTGGAATTTAATGGTAGTGGCAATGGCTGTCTGGTGGTGGCAAGTAGGAATTGTCAATGGGGGCTAGTATTGAACATAAATTTGTTTGGCTTGGGCCTATTTTGTTTTAAAATTGTGGCTTATATATTAGGCTTGTTTGGATGGGTTAAAAAAAGGGACTAATACTACTATTAAAATTTTTTTTAAAAAAACATTGGTTGGACATATCTATACTAAAAAAAATTTAGGGAGGGCTCAAGCCCACCCAAACCCCCCTCTATGTCTGCCAGTGGGTGGTGGCGAAAATGGAACAGTGATTGGGTTTGAGAGTAAAGCGAAACAAGAGTGGTGAAGGAGGGTAGGGATTGGCGGTGGCAGTGAAGGGAGTGGAATGGTGGTGCGTTTGGGTTTGGGTTTTTAATGTTAAATTTTACTTTCAAAAAAAAAAAAAAAACAATCCTAAATTTAAATTAATTAATCTAAATAATAATTATCAAATTATCTATTTGTTTTTAAGTTGTAAATAAATATTATTTTAAACTATAGATTTGATTTGAATATCTAATTAAAATGTAATTAATATAAAAATTAAATATAACATAAATTTAAATTTTTAATTAAATATTGATTTTCAAGATAATTAAGTTTTGTAAAATCTTAAAAAATAAATTTATAGGTGATTTATAAAATTAATGGAATGTGTTTGATAAATAAAATTTTAATATGAGAGGGAGGGAGAGGGGCATTTTTGTCCATTAAAATTTGTCATTGGATAATACTATAAGGATAATAACATCTTTTTACTTAGTTGATAGGCATTTTGGTCCCTTCAACCATTTTTTCTGACAAAGTCCAACCTCATTTTAGTTTATCCTAAATTTTGTAGGTGACCTTGTTCTTCCTTTAGCAACTGATACATGTCCGGGCGAACCACACCACTAAAACAAAACAAAAATCTCACACCTCTACCAATTAGATAGTTCACTACTACATAAACCAAATCTAACTACCTAAGCACGTGTGTGAACCAAATACAACTCCCTCACCGTGAGTAAGAAAAGTTCAACTTTTAGTTCTACCTCCACACTTGCTCTGACTTATGGCTACTAACAAGACAACTACCTTTTATATAGACATCCTAACTATTCGAATGTATTTCAATCAATGGCTAATATCTTCTCCCTATAACACTCCTCTAAATATCCTAAATATTCACATAATAAATCTGTACGAAAATCTTCTCTAATCTAATCTAGATATTATTGTAATTTTTTTAGAATTCTCCATCACTCCACAAATCTCTATATAAAGTAGAGAAGACACTACACCTCAAAAGATTGGCTATACCAGGGGACAATAAAGGGTATTTTTCTATGGTTGTTCACCTTTGCATCCCTGCCATTAGAATGAGTTCAATGAATATTGAGACATATTAAATCATAGAAAAAGCTACATAGTCATAATGTCATATAATGTTTGTCTTTATGTATAAAATACCCTTTATTTTCAACTAGAGAATAATGGACTACGTGCTAGTTGTAGATGTTATATTGTTTTCTGCAAATAGAATGGAATTTGACAATTCTATCAGGATATAACTCACAGCTGACTAACCTAGAATTCATGAAACCTCTTCGAACCCTAGAGAACCATAGCACCGTGGATCCACAGAGCTTCGCAGCCCTGCTATTGATTTATTTGATTTCTCTTTATTCCTTCATTTTCATGCCAATATACGATGGAACACATTGCTAATACTCTCACAAGCAGGTGTTACGTGAGTCTTTCTATACGAATCATTGGTCTGAATGTACGTTCATTCCAAATAATTTTTGCAGAATACATTGCTTCCATGTATTCTGCAAAACTATTGGCATTTTAGTGGAAATTATAGTAACTTCAGAAGTTGAGATAAAATTATAGTACTTTCTCCATGTGTTCATGACATTGAACAAGTGAAAAGACACAAGAGAAGGGTATAGCAGTCATTGATCAAATCAACACAACTTTAACAAGATTTTTCTGGAATGGTGAAAAACACTGGTGCTAAAGCCTCATGGGACTTCTTCATTTGTAGACCTCAAGAGTGCGGTGGCTCTCAGGTTTATGCTATGTTTGGTTGGAGGGATGGATGAGGCTTTTCGTGTTTGGTTGGAGGGAAGGGAAAAGAGGGAGGAAGCAAGGAGGGATGCTTCATCCCTCCTTTCTTTATGTTTTTCTATCCGCCTAATTTTGGGGAGAAGAGAGAAAATGAATAACTACCAACAATATGCAATTTTCAATTTTAACCTTTTCAAAAAAATTCGAATGGATATCTACTTTTTATTATTTTATACAGTGAGGATATATTGGTAAAAAAATATAAAAATCTCTTTCCCTTCCTTCCAACCAAACAAAAAAAAAGTATTACCCCATCCATCATTTCTACTATCCATTCCATTCAACCAAACAATAAATGGAGGAGACACCTTCCGTTCCCTAGGGATTCCTCATCCATCCATCCCTCTATCTCTTCCATCTATTTTTCCATCCCTCCAACCAAACGAAACATTAGTGAATCCACAAGAACCTTATTAAGGGATAGGAGTTTCAGGGACACAACTCTTGGCGCAGAAGGTGCTCAGCGAGGGCTATGGCCCGAAGCTGCTCTACAAACGCGTACTCTATAGGAAATGGCTGCTGTACCGAACTCTGGTTTGACTACTGTCTTCCATGTAAACCCTAGATCCACCCCACATTGTTAGTTTCTTACAGCTCCTTGGCATGTGTCCCTTAGCTATTTAATTGGGAACGTTTTGTGAAATGAATATTCAAAGGCTTTCTCATACAGCATTCCACTTTCATTCTCATAACTAGGACACAGTTATTTAGAATCTTTGACGTCCACAACCATTACTGCTACACCCAACGGACCATTAGCTTTTTTAATCATCTTGGTTGATGCATAGAGTCTGAATTTTGATCCCCTGGAGGGGTGAATACAGTTGCTTTTAATTTGGTGGGAGGCATAAGAAAGAGGCATGAGAAAAGCAAAGGCTTGTGTCAATGGCATTTTTATGATCACGTATGCCAATGAGTAATTGGAGCTTGATCGAAAAAATTGGCCTAGAGCATCCATTTGTTTATCTTAAGGATGTTATATACTAAATATCTTGGATTTCAACACTGATGGGGATGTATATGTGAATTTAATGTGAATAAAACTACTATATTTATATAAGTTATCTCATATATATATATATATAATGCATGTGATTATTATATAATAATATAAAGAAGTAAAATAAATTAATAAAAATATTCAAAAAATTCAAGCATTCTGAGATAAATAATCAGCAAGCACAGTGTTTCTTCTTTTGTAATAATAATAATAATAATACAATACTAATATTATAAGAACTGTTTATGTAAAGAATTTGGTTTGAAGATCATTGATTGAAATGCATTATAATTGTTTATTAAAGAGAGAATGTTAATATAAAAGGTAGGAGTCTCATTTGTAACGAATGAGTCATATAAAAGATGTAATATGTTAGTTTATATTCAATATAAAAAAAAGTTAGGTAGCAAACGTTTAACATTGTAATATGTTTTATATTCAATATTGAAAAGTTTTTTTTTCAGAAAAGGAAGAAACAAGGAAAAAAAAAGTTTTTTTTTAGAAAATGAAGAAACAACTGTTAAAGAATAAAAATATTTTTAAATAAAAACTGAATAATTTGAGTAACAAGATTGCAAATAACAACCTACCACTCCAAATCAAACTATCCTAAATTAAATTATATGACATCTCATACAATTTCAAAAATGTAAATTTGTTTATTTTACCCTTTCGATTGATTGCTAATAAATTGGTAATATCTTCCAAATATATATATATAGGATAAAAAATATTATAATATACCTACAAAACTAATAAAGTCCAATGAAAAATCCAATGCACCTTTACAAAAAGTAATAAATAAATAACCTATATATCAAAGAGCAGGTTGCATAAAATAGCAAATGGGCAATTGAAATTTCGGTTGAGTGCTCTGACCAAAAGAGTAAATTTGGCAGCAACATCCTAAATTTCAAACAAAGAAAAAAAACTATAGTCTAGAAATACATAGTAAATGTGATTATAGTATCAGGAGTTATATGATATGTTTATAACCAAACCCCAGTGCAGAAAAATGAAGTTGAAATTCCTGGATTTGCATTATTCCAGTTTGCATACAGGAAAGAAAAAAAAATAATTCAAACACTAGGCAACCAAATACATACAATGACAGACCACCTTAGCTCTTGACTTCATCCCCACTCCCTACTGCTCAGAACGCACACTTTATCATATGATAAACAGAGAAGTTCAAGTTTACCACCACTTGTCTCTTTATATCAGATTTTCACCATTCATCCAGCTACCGGTGCCTAAAAGAGTAATAATACACTGATTAGCAAGACCAACTCTTCCAAACGACGTAACTAGAAATATTTTTCACATAAGAATGTAATAAATAAACATACACATGAGAAATATTGAATTCAAAGCAGGTTTGATGGCAACCTGGACCTCTTTCTGCAGTTCCAAAAAATATCTTCTATAAACTCTTAGTCAAGTTTGACATTAGAATACAGAAGTGTGTCCCTTGTGAGTGGCATATACGTAAGGAAGTAAATCTGCATAGAAACAACACAACAAAAAACGAAATTATATAGCCACAGCTTTTCAACAGTGGGTGTGATCCACCAAATAAGAGACACTACTAAAACCCAAAACATGTAAATCCCAGACATATCTAAACATTTAACCACATTTTCATCAGTAGTATTAATAGACAAGACACAAAAAGAATTCCAATGTTTTTTCAAAAACTAATCCAACGTAAACATAGCAAATCGTCACTAAAATCCTATAATTCACAATCTGAATAATCTAAATTCAAACTAAATTTCACCCAAAACTGCATTGAATTGAAAATTTGATATGCTTTGAGAAACACACACATTTTTCTTTTAAGTCTTACTATTTACGATGTGAATCCTAAATTCTACCAAATCTTGCAAATTTATTAAATAGAACTAGTGAATGCTTGAAATGTAAACATAAACCTCCAGTCCACTTTTAAATTAACAATGTTAAGGCATAAAAATTAATGACATAAACACCATGATTACTAATGAAGTGATTCGTTTAAGGTACAGCTTATACACCACTGCAAAAAAGGAAAACTCAATTATATAGTTAGAATTTTGTGTTGCCTATTGAGATCAATAATATGATGGTAGGTTAGATTATTTCTGCTAAGAGTTTATGCAGACAATCAAGTTTAATGTTATTTTTAAGTTTTAAATCGAGCATAACCATATTAAGTGTCATTCTAGTTAAATGTCTTAATATTGATGGTTTTACAATATGGCGTGCCCTAATTACTTGAAAAAATATTTTAGATCATTTAGTTAGACAGTAGTGTTTTGTTGTGTGTACAAAATTTTTTCCTTCCTGCTATTTCAAAAATTAGGATGAACTCTCTGGTTCACGGCTTGAATCATCACATGAATTGGATACACTTTCCAATGTAAATACAACGATCTAATTACAAAAATATGTAAAAATATTTTAAAATGATTTATGAAAATACTTTGATTCCATTTTATTGTTTTTTTACAAATCAGTAGTGATTAAACCCAATGGAAATTGGTAGCTCTGCAAGTGCATGATAGAGACTTTTGTTGTGAAACAGAACATGTAAACAGAAACTTTTGCTGTTCTTGGTTCTTTTGGGTTGCCAAGGTTGAATTTCTAGAGCTGGCACAAAGGTAACAAGTTAGCTTGTAAAAACCTAGTATTAAAAATAAAAATAAAAAAGGAGAAAAGAAGAATGTAGAAAGCACTCCTAGAGCCACTTACAAATCACACCTAGAGTTATAATAGCATCATAACTATTACACGAGCTACAAAAGCTTATTCAAATTCTATAAATTGATCTCCATTATATTCGAAAGAGTACGAAGGTTTATAATTATGATACTTAAGACTTTGAAATTTAAAAATAAAGATTTTGAATCATATATTCATCTAAACCAACAAAAGACTCCAAGAAAAGATTCAGAAGATCTAAAATAAACTGAATGGAAATCTTGGGAGACCTAATATAACAGTCAAGACTGTGTAAAAACCTGATTATGCACGATCCCAAGTGCCTTGCCTTGAAATCCAACCAAATTTCAAAATAACACATCATGCATAACATAAACTGCATAGTCTGCATCCTAGGTTCCTTAGTGGATTGGTTTTACCTAACTAAGAACAGCCATTGTATAAAAGGCATAAATGGACTCTAGTACAGTATAAGTCCCAATATTATCATCCTGCCAATCAGGAATCAAACGAGTTTTGACAATAAAGGGATTTAGAACTGTTGAGTTCACCAATTAAAAGTGACTTGATTCATGTTGAAGATAAAAGATTGGGAAGAGAAAGACATTCAAGAAAACAGCCCCAGCAATGAGAAAAGACATGATAGCACAATACTTAACAAAGGACATGGTCATAGACAGACAAATTGCAAAAGCCAACACCAAGCAGTTAGGATTAAGGGGTTATCGAATTGGGTCATCACAAACAATTAGTAATGCTACGTTGACATCTAGGAAGCACGTACATGCCTAAAAGGGCAAAGAATCCGTGTCGGGCACTGACATGCCCCGACACTTGTCGGACACGCCAAAATACGTGTCCGAATATTTAATATCCTTTCGAATATCCAAACACACCATGGATACGTGTCCAACATGCGTGTCTCACTCTTTGGGGATTTTTAAGAAAATTTTAGAAACAATGCTGAATTGAAGTGTAAATATTAGGGGTTGTTTAATTACATAATTCCTTACAAACTTGTTGCTTCATAAAACAATTTTATATTCAAACAATTAGATATTTATTCTTATATTTTAGTTCAAAGGTTCGAACCCTTGCACGATCATCTTTGACTCTCTTGTTGTCCCACCAACCAAGCTTCGCTACCGGTGAATGGTCTCTCTCTCTCTCCTCTTTTCTCTCTTATTCTTCGTCCTCCTTTCTTTCTTCTTGTTGTTCACAAACCCTAAATACTTCCTTTTTTTCCTTTCACAATAAATTTCTTTTTGTCTCTTTTTCCTTTTTCCTCTATTCCCCATTAACTTTTTTCTCTTCTATGGATTCTTACCTTTATTTTTAACTAAGGCCTAATTTTTTTCCTCCTCTTTTTTTTTTTTTTTTTTTTTTTTTTTCTCTCTTTCTTAACCCTCTTTCTATCATTCTTTCTTTTTTCCAGCAAAACACTCTTCTTTTTTTTTTTTCATTCTGAGATTGTATTACTCTTAATTTCTTAAAGTACAACATCATATATATAGAATATATATTTCTTTTTTGTCGTGTCCGTGTCCCAATTTTTTTGGATTTCATGTGTGTCATATCCGTGTCCCATATCCGTTTCCGTGCTTCTTAGGTTGACATCACCCATAGAAACAAAAATGATTTTTACGGATACATCCAAAACAACTAATAGAAGTAAATCAAAAGCTATACTTAACTTGCTGACTTGTTAATAAGATAATAATAATAATTCTTACCCTGTCAAATCAATAAGCAAATGCTTCTGCATATAATATAAAAGTAAAAAACCATTTTCTTAATTGCTTATTGTTTCTCCCAAATGAAATTCCTAAATGGTTTTTCATGAAACTAAATTTTGTTTGAATCCAAGTTGGAATGACATTGACATTTTCAAGTTTTGATAAAAATTCATACATTACCAAAAAAAAAAAAATGCTCCAATAAATGTCAAGAATATATTGACCTATAAATAAATTAGTTTAGCCAACCTCCTTTAGTTGCATCCAAAGCATGCATTGCCAAGCCCACTTATTTTGAAAAAGTCAACTGAAGCATAAAATTAGGCGAAGGCCTTAATTGATGATTACTTACCCCTAGGAGAGTGGCAATGATAAGAATGATTCCTGTTATCCATGCAAGGATTCGTCTAACCAACATCACTTCTGCAACAGCGGTTGAATTAGTTGAGCCTTTTATTTCCTCCAGCCAACGTGGAGATGGACGCGAGGTAACTACGGTATTCAACATCATTTCTGACTTTGAAGGTGGTGTTCCATTAAATAAGATGACTCCAACAATTTGGCCTGATCAATTTATACATTAAACTGGATTTATAATTGGGAAACAATTCATAGGATTTACAATAAGTGCAATAAACTAACTACTAATAACTCAAAAGTTTGTAGATAAAATGCAGCCTACAGAATCCAAAAGAACACTGGTTGTTAATTAAGATTGGATTGGCCCAAACAAAACAATCTATGTTCAAGACTTCAAGTAGTTAGCCCAGTTAAAAGTTCTCCATAATTTATGTCAGAAACATATACATTGGATATGATGCCCAAAAAACAAAAAAAAAATAGCATTCGCACTGACTAATCAGGTAAATTCGGCCACTCGAAAATTTGGTTTACAAAGAAGTCCGATTGGAGCAGCTGAGTCATATTATCCAAGATAAATAAAACTGACCTTTGTATGCTGTCTGCAAAGAATTATGTATCTTGGTAAGTGAAGCGAGGAATAATTCCAATCCTTGCTGGGTAACACGTTCACTTCCATATTCATTCTGCAAAGCCTGTGACATAATTCCACTTCGTGGTTAGCAATTATATTGCATGTGCATGCACACACTATTTAGCAGAGGCATCATTCGATTAGCGCTGTGAAAGTACTCTTCAACCCTTTGGCAGTCAGCATTTTGTTTTGAACTACTAATTTCATATGAAAGAAATGTACTTCATAAACGCCAACGAAAAAGGACATGATGCTTTTGCTCTGCCCATCATTAGATTCATGTTTCAATAATATTTATCTAAAACAAACTTGTCAACATTCGAATATCTTGCTTGTTTTAACCAGGAACTAACACAACATTGGAGTGCCATTGACAGAAACAAAGGTAAATCACAGGAAAATGTTACAGTGGCAATGGACAGAAACATAGGCAGAAAATGCAAGCAGACCAAAGCAGGAAAAGTATACATCTGAATCAAACGAGTTTAAAGACCATATTGGGATTTAGAGTAAATATTTAATGATACTGGAACACCTCAGACATTATATCATAAAAATGCCAAAATAGAGGTAAGAGAATCAAAACAACCATTTCTTTACATGACATTAAATTGCTCATGTAGCGCAGAAAGAAGTACTTCTATGCCGATCCTTCAAACTTCACATTAAATAGTATAGAACCATTAATAACCTACCAAAATGTCAAATATAAATTTTGTCTATCAACCTAAAAAATAAAAAGTAATATAGACTTGTAATTATAATTTAACCATGTAGCATTTCATCACATGGATTTCTATAACCATAGGCACTCTAGAGCTTCGACTATCTGAGATATCTACAAGAAGAAACAACGAAACAGACATAAATACTGGTTCCAATTTTTTCCCTTTTCATTGCGCATCGGTAATTGAAACTGTACTCAAGTAGAATAAGGTAATAAAACGAGGGGAAAAAAAAAAACATTTCTTTCAATATAAAGGTTTATCATCACTCCATTATTGACTGAGGCAGCAACTGATAATCTGCCTGATCAAAGTCAAAACAAGTGCAGTACACCTAAAACAGAAACTCAACTTCATACGAACAAAACAAACTACCACTGCACATGGCATTTTTCAATTTTGGGATTCATTTTGTTAGTAGTAATATTGCCCTTGTCCTTGCTACATAATCGGATCATTAAAATAAATAAAATATATATATATATTGCATCTTGGTTTTACTTGAAACATTTCCCAAGGCTAATTTATTATTATTTTCTTTTATGAATGAATATATTTCAATTTATTAATTAAGAGAGAGAGAGAAAGAGAAATGGTTTTTCCCACCTCAATGCCATCAAAACTTCCTGTCACTAACTCAGCTGGACTGCGCATACTTCCAGACAAATCTTGATGCATCTCCATTGCCCTTATGATATTACGGATGAGAGACACGAGACTTACTGTAAATTCTCTGTCAGCTTTCTGCATATTAAAAAGAAACTCTTCCCATTAAATTTATGGAAATGAGAAAGCAGACAGTGCTTGGCATGTCCTTATAAATGATAAATCCACAAAAACATAAATATATAGCAAGAAAGAACATTCTAAAATCCAGATGGAGACCTTTGACATATGAAGTTTCAAGTGGGCACCGTTACTCAAGGGGATGGTCAACTCTCCATTCAATGATTCCAAGGTGTTAGTAACATATGAACCATCCAACCAAGATGCCTGAATACATAAACAAATGATACATCACATATTTGAACATAATTGGCCAGCATATCTAAAAGAAAACAACAATAGTCATAACTTACAAAATCCTTTAGCTCTTTGTCGGTACATTCTACATCAGAATCAAAACTTAAGGGTCTATTCAGAGAGACCACAGATACTTCACCTTCATCTGCAAAAGATAAATACAAATAAAATAAAAGTGCATTAGGAGAAAAAATAATAATAATAAGAAAGAAGTGACTAGATCGTGTCGTCATAACAAGGTGTCCCAATGGCACAAGTATTACAAAATTCATGTACCTGGAAGTTGAATGTCAGCTTTATTTGAACCAAAAATAACCTCTCTCTTAAGGGAACTACCGAATAAATCACTAACAGAATCAATCATGTGCTGAGAATCTGCATTATCAGAAGTCAGAACATTTCGCGAAAACTTTTAAAAATATAAAGAAACACATAACAAGTTGCAGTTGATGGATGCATTTCGGATTCAAGTTCATGCACCTTCAATTCCTTTGACTTCTAGCATTAAAACAGAGCGAGGCCTATCAAATGGATTAGGCATGAGCACCTCATTCAGCTGCAAAAACAATAATACTATTATTGACTTACACTGAAAAAAGGACTTCCAATAGCAGAAACAAGAGGATAAACAAGTTATTTTCCATCACTTATATTATTTTTTATTACCTTCAATGAACTAGCAGCTGAGAGTGTGGCAGGTGGTGCAAAACCAAGCAAGACTGACACAGCAGCACCAACTTCAGGGAGCAACATTGAATCTCTCTGCAAAAGTCAAGATAAATCAAGCAGTCAAACGACTAAGACAATTACACCATGCTTAGCATCCCTTTTACAACCAAAGGATAATGGCACAGGAAAATTTTGTCAAACATGTTGAACACTTCCAAAAACAGTACATCGTATGACTAGAATCTTCGGAAATTCTATGAATTCCAGCTTTACTATGTAATAGCAAACACCATGTTATACTAAAACACCATGTTATACTTAAATTAGCCATATTAATCTTACAAGGGCATAAAAAAGCTTCTTTATTATCCATAACACTTGAATGGAAGATTCTATCTCCTCCATTGGAAGCCATTACTAGTAACAGACCAAGATGGCACAAATTCATCGAACAGTTCCATTCAAATACAGCAAAGACAAACTAACATCTAATATTACACACTTAAATATTGAAGCGATCCCTGCATGTTCTTCATTTTTTACAGGATACAGAGTAATAGAAGAGGCATAAACTATCCTTTCCACTCGGTTTCCCATACTTCTCATAAACAGGAAAATTATTCAAGCCCGTTTCCTATGTTGTATGTCACCACTGATTTGAAACAATCAATTAGGCGAAATAAATAAAATATATCCATTCCCTGTAAATTTTATCCTTTCTTCTTTAAAAGGTTCAAACAATGAAACATAAAAAATTCAAATTTTAATTTCTTTGTATTGTCCTACAAAACATTTTCTCAGCACAAACCAGAGGGTACTTCATCAAAGTTAAAGTAAAGAATTAGAGACTACCTGAGTATAATATTAATAGATATTATTACATCATAACATAAATTTATTGAAAAAAATAAGATCAGATGGAGAATATTTTTAGTTGTTGTAGATGCCATATGGCATAATTTGGTAAAAGGGCAATTATCAGAATTGTGTGCAAACACAAGAGAATGAGCCTCTCCAGTTTAATGGTAGCTAAAGGTCCTGGCTGCTACCAAACAGCCACTATCCCTTCCTTTCTTTTATACACATGCGCACGTTAATGGTAGCTAAAGGTCCTGGCTGCTACCAAACAGCCACTATCCCTTCCTTTCTTTTATACACATGTGTGCGCGCGCGCGCATGCACATACATATATATACTTTACAGTAATTTTTGTTGAAGGACCTTAGCTAATGGACAACAAACTCTATTTTACACTCCAGATTACCAATGTGGTCAGAACCTTACTCATCTAATTTTTATAAGGATAGATAAATTGGCTGGCTACAACATCTCACTGCATCAAAGTTTCCATCTTGAGTAAAGATTGATCTAGAAACCAGTATACTGTCAGGAATCAATAGTAGATAAGGGGGTAGTATATTACCATTGTTTGAAAAAAAAATCTCATACAATTTTCAATTTAAGGATGAGACAATTTGGAATTTGAATTAGTTTTTTATTTCCCATAAATCACCTGAGATGAGGGATTTGGCATTGAGCCTTTCCAATTTATTTTAAAAATATGCAATTCAAAACGGATGGGGCAGCACAAGAGCCTTATCTCTCAAAAGCATATGGAGAGTAAAAGAGTTCCAAACAGGAGCGGAGAGCTGAGAAAAGCAAGAGTAAAGATAATGTCTTCAACAGTTTGACTCAGTGGAGCATGTTGTGCGTAAAGCTACGAAAAACAAAAGAGGGAAGATCTATCTCTTAAAAGAATGATGCTGAAGCACTTAAAGAATTAGCCGGTGATCACTCTATGTAGATATAACTGAATTAAAACCTAACAAAAAATTTCAAATTGTGCAATTAATTCTAAAGACTTGCAATCTAGATTTTCTTACTCTCTCAAGGCATGACTGAAGAATGATCAGCCAAATCTTGTGTAAACATTATTCGATTGGATCAGATATCCTCCAATATCTCCCTCCTTTCTTATTTTAATAGCAAATAATTTTGTACTATAAAAGTCATAGATTCAACAAATAATACAATTCATAAGGAAACACCCGAATTGGGACAGAAAAAAGATTTTAAAAAAATAATAATTAAATGAAAATACACGAAATTACATTTGCAATAGAATCCGATGAATGAGGACGAAGATATTGGTGAATTGAGCTATCGAGGAAGAAAACCGAGCCACTGTCATCGGCCTATATAGAAAACAAACAATTCAACACTAACATCAATGGATCCGCAATCATATCATGTATTATAAGAGAGAGAGTTGAGACAAATATGCATATTGTGTGTGTGTGTGTATATATATATATGTAAAGAGAGAAGACAAACCCTAGATTGCAGACAGAGCAGCGCTAGGATAAATAACAGGCGGAAACTTCCGTAAATGTGAGAATCCATTGTGTGTGTGAGAGAGAGAGGGAGAGAGACAAGGAGAGAGATTTGACGACTGATCTGGGTTTGAAGGAGGACAATCGGGGAAGGGGAAGGGGAAGTGAAGAAACCAAAAGCGGTTTTACGGCGTCGTATTTTCGCTGTCACGTCCTCCTATAACATTAGTTCTAATTCCAATTGGCAAACGACTGTTTAAAAATAAATAAATAAATGGCAAACGACTTACCAGGGTGGCTATGGGCTAGGCCCCCAAAAGTTGTGTGTATATGTATGACCCAGAAGGACTGAAGGGTGCATAAGCCCAAACATGCCCCGCCCCAACGACAAAAAAAAAAAAACGAAAGAGAGAAGAAGTAGACTTCTCTAGTCTTATTGGGCATTAGTAAGACCCAGTTTCTAAGCCCAATACAAATATAAATCAAACGAAGTAGATAAAAAAAAAAATAAATAAATAATAATGTCCTTTTTTGTTAAACAAATATGCTTCATGTTTCAAACTTATAAAATTTAATCATGAACCACGTCACCTTTCTCTCTTAGGGCCCATGTGGCATGGGCTTTATTTTTAAGTGTTTTATTTTTGGCTAAAATAAAAATGGTATTTTTGTTATAAGAGTGTTGTGGAAAAAAATCAGAAGCACATTTGGAAACGATAGTTTAGGACGTTTTGTTTTTGGCCCGTATTGCGCTACTATTATGATTTTGGACCATGAACAGTTGTCAAAATTTAAAAAAAAAATAATTTTTTGCTGTTTTGGTTTTGAGTCATTGTTCACGAAGTGTTTTAATACTGTATAAAATAAAATAAGGTCACACCAAACATATTTTTGTTATCAAAATCGACACTATAGCAACTCAAAAACAAAACACATGCCAAACCGGCCTTTATGTTTTATCTCTTCCTCTCTCTCTCAGTTCTACTACCCAACCTCCATCACCTTTCTTACCCCGCCATCTCCTCCATTCCTAAAAAATAACCTTATAATTTTATGCATTATTTTCTCTCTAAAATCCTCTCCATATTTCAGCACCATTGATGCTGTTATTTTCTCTAAAATCCTCTTCATCTTCCATAGGGATAATTAAAAAGCAAACTAAAAAGTCCTTTTGACCATAGGGATAATTTAGAGAATAAACCACCTTTTATATGAAGAATAGGTAAAAATTAATACTTATCACAAAATGATGTCATATGTCATGCCCACAAAAACATTGTTGAATGCCGCATATTCACATTGTCTTTACCAAACGAGAAAAGCATACACATATATACATGTAGAAATTGACCTGCATTAGCAATACCGTTGAAGTGTGATACTTTTCTAAAGTTCAGAAAAAGCTACTTTATATTGGTTTAGATCTCTCCGGACTTTTTTTATTTTTTGTGCCCTGCCATTTTTATCCTTGTTGCATGTATAGATAGTATAATCTCTCTCTTGAACACATTAATATTCAAGTTAATTTAAAGGTTAACATCCATCACATGTATTTTCAACAATATTCATCGACGCACACATGACCTAATTAGGGGATCAAAATCCTCTCCCTATTCTCTCAGTTCCATTTAATGAGTGAAGTTTGTTACTATAATGGTGTGGACGTTACAATTCACATGTTAATATTTCGTTATTATTTACAATTCACATGTTAATATTTCGTTATTATTTACTTACATGTGGATTTCACATCTTAATAATAACAAAATTCGCTATTGATAGTAATGAACTTCACAATCCATGCAGTACCAACTACGAATTACCAAATTGAATCGCGTAAAAACGTGGAGAGAATTTTTGATCCCTGATTAGTTCCCATAGCCAATGGATGGATGACGTTGTCATTGCTCACGCAAAAGTCCTTAATTTGCTCCTTCTCATGTGGGAAATGGATTTTGAACAAAGAAAAGAGAGGCAAAAGACAAAGTAAACAATTGTAGCTTAATGTGAAAGGTTTACGTCCTAATGGATGCTTAATTTGCCATGCATGCATGGGCATATATATATCTACTTAATTTTTGAACGTTTTCAAAGGGGGATATGTGAAAAGGGGTTCTTCGCGAAGCAATTGCATTATGTATCTCTACAACCACAAACATGTGGGCGTGAAAGGCGCTCCCGAATTTTCTCAATATCTGTTTTTGTTGGGGGTCTTCTTGGGGTCACCATCTATCACACTGTTGGTTTGTTCATATATATATATATAGGCCCTAAATTATTGTTGGACAAACATGAAATTTGAAATGAGTCTGAGGTTTTATTAGTGTTGTGTTTTTAAGATGATGTTGTGCACTGAAATTGAAGACATACATGTCCATCAATTTAATTCTTGATACTTTTGAATTTTTCTCTGCTGACTTTAGCTAGATTAATTTAACAGCCATGCAAATCTGTCCATATTTATTAATTTATTAAACAATTAAGTAAGCACAAATATTGATGTGTGCAATAAATATATATTGCACAATGCACATGAAATATATACAGTATATATATATATATAATCTAGACAGAGTAAATTCATCTATATATGTCATGCATCGCAAACATGGCAATATCTATATGTCGCCATGTCGTCGGTACTCTAATAATCAAAATGAGTAGCCACGGTTTTCCAATATTCAAAAGCTCAATTATTTTATTTTTATCCCGATAATTAGCTAAATTAATTGTTGGAGTCGTCGTGCTTTTATGAGAACATGTTTCTCATAACATTTACATGAATAACATAATTAAAATTCATAGGAGCTTTTAAGATGAAAAGTCAAGAGCAATGGAAAGCTAACGACATCGAATTCATCATAAGCTTCTAATCAAAGGTAGTGGGGACCTATGCAACCGATCATGGAGACAAACCCTGGAGTACAATTCACAAGCTTTGATTTTTCTTTTCTTTTGTAATCTTTTATATATATATATATATATATATATATATATATATATATATATATATATTTGTGTGTGTGTGTGACATATCATATCAGTCAATACATGCATCAACGATGCATAATTTTCCAAGGGTTGTCCAAGTCAAAGAAGAGAGAGATTTCTTGTGCAATAGGTCAAGCAAGAAAAAGACATCACGTACCCTTCTTCTGCCCTCCCTTTCTGCTCTCACTTTGCTTTATCTTTACAGATTCTTTCTTTTTCAAATGACCATAGTAGCCAAGATGAAGGATTCTTTAATTAGATATATTTTGATAGTATCACTAGCTAATATCGATCATTGTGCAATTAAGGAGGTGACTATAATTCAACATAGAGTGACCAATGAATCAGAGTTGTGTGTATACATGTGTGAATAAGGATACAAAAATTGATTGGTTTTTGTTTCAATTCTAACGGATAGAGTCTAACAAAGTTTTTTTGTCGCTAAAAGATAAAAATGAACTCTCTCATTTTAAAGAGTGTTTCACTAGTAATTGCCACATCAATCATTACAAAATCTCAATTGACATTTATATATATATATATTTTTTTGGTGTATATATTCACACATGCATTTGAGTATGTATAAAAGCTATCAGATCCCAGTAAACAAGTTATCTATATAATTTCTTGTCACATTAGTGGTCTAACGGTACTAGTCTACTAGATCCCTACTTTTTAGAGAAAGATCAAAAATTTAAAAAGTACGTGTGTGTGAGTACGATGTACCAATTAAAAAAAAAAAAGTTACACACACAAGTCGCGTTTGATACTTTGATGTTGCGTGTGCATATATCATAATATATTAATTGGTAAGTAGCATTTTATAAGTTTGTTTCCACACAAAATTAATGTGAACCAGCTGGCCGTAATTTAATTAGTCAATTCAATGTAGGGATGTCCCTTGGAATTCGAAAATAAGAAAATGGGCACTTTGGTAACTTTAGTAGGTCACAGCATGTTCTATATATATGCACCTCCTCTTGTGTAAAGTAAGCAAGTACTCCAAGCATCAACAAATGTGGCTTTGAATTTCACATCTTTCTTTCCATTTCATACTGTATATGTAATCAAAGTTCTCTTTTTCACCTTATTGTTCTTGATCATATTGAACTTGGTGGTCTAATTGGTTTATGGTTATTAATCCCCTGTGAACTATATATAATCTCAATGGCAACAACTAGCAAAACATTTTATGAAAGCTCTATAAAGTCACAAGCTCTGTTGCTAGTTCTTGTGCTACTCCTGAATATTGTTCCTCTCATTCTAGGTCGTCCTTTCGATATGTCAAATCCATCCATGGCTTCCTCATCGTCGGCTGAACGAGTTCTTCTAGACTCTCCCTCCGCGCACCAATCAACCATGACGTTATATCCACACAAAGCTAAAAATACTACCACCACCGCCGCCGCCACGAATAGACGGTTTGAAGCCGCTGCCCATGATGTTCCTAGCGGTCCAAATCCCGATCAAAACAGGTAATTAAGCAGAAACTCTTCATGTAACAACATTGGCTCATCATCATATGTTATCTCCACTTTGTGTTCTTCGGTCTCCTGATAGTAAGCAATAAAGTGGCCATACATACATATTATGTATGTAAGTATGTTACATGCATGATGATCAACTAGGTATCTGGTATTGTACAATTGATATATATTGAAGAAGGATCTATATCGATCATGAAACAAAGATCAATGAGTCCATGTACATGTACAATTAAGACTGTAGTACGTTGTTGTTTGATTTATGTATATGATGGTATCTAAGTTCACTTCGGTCTTGTCATTCTAAAATAATTGTCCAATGGGCAGTAACTATGGATTTTTGCACTGTTCTAGTCAAACGAATGGCCTGAGACACCTGACACCAAAAAAGTCATGAGATATGATTCAATAATTATAACATGGTAAAGTTTATATAATTGCTACAACCACCAAATTCAATAAGCTATGATGATATATATATTTTTTTTTCTTGGCTAAAGTTTGTGTCACTTCCATGCATTTGTCGCCTATGTAAAATTGTAAATTAGCTAAAGGAGAATAAATTCTGTTTAAATTATTTTTTTTTCCTCTAAGCACTTATTAGCCTACCCAAAAAATAAAATAAAATAAAATTAGTATTTAATCAATTAAAAAAGTGAGATCCAAATAACTATAATAGGAAAATAATTTAGAGTTTGAAAGAGGGACAACTTCAACTAATTTAATTATGTGAATATTAATTAATGTTAATTAGTAGGACGGCTTTATTATTTATGATGAATGAAGTCAGGCTCTACTCAAATCAAATTAGTTGAATTCACTACTTTCAAAACATTTGCTCACAGCAGAAAAGGTTCCATATATACAACTCAAAAGCTAGCTCATTTATTTATTTACTTTTGGCATCAAGAACTTAGGGGTGGGTGGAAGAAAATCAACTTGAAGCAGCGGACTCGATATCTCAGACGACTTGACTTATGATTTTAAATTTGATTATAGTATAATTTAACTTGTTTTAGAAATAATTTGAGTTATATCAGCCAACTAATCACTCAGTTGTTGCCAGGTTAACTCAAAATTTAGCCAATTTAAATTGACTCAAAAGTTTTACAAAGGAAAAAACATGCCTAAATGACAAAAATACATAATATCCATATGGCAACCGCCAACTTTCTGTTCAGTGTGGGAGTTTTGGTGTATTAGATACAAATAAGCATACCTTGAGAAATCATCAATAAAGAAAACACGAAGGAAGAAAGACAAGACTATTATAAATGTTTTTAAAATTTAAAATTTTCTTTGTAATTAACACTTTTTTTTTTCTTTCTATAACAACAAACAAAATAAGATATTGTCGTATTTTTTTCTTTTTCATCAAACCAAATAAAAAGAGGAAATGACATAATCTCTTACTTAGGGATGTTTCATTTATCTCTTCGTCGAGCTCTCTCATTTCCGTCCAAATTTCCTCTATCCTAACAAACGGGGCATAGATGCCAAAGATTTTCTCTTGGATGTTATTCCAAAAATCTCCATTTATATTACCTAGCAGATTGATTTCTCCCCTCAAGAGAGTTACAAAAACCAAGATGAAAGTTTTTGGTCAACTAAGGTAACCGGGAGAAATTATAAATTACCGACACTTAAAAGTTGGGTACCTCACATAAGAATGGATTCATCTCAAAAGTCGGGTGTCTTACATAAAAATAGGGCTCACCATATGTTTCACCACAGGTATCTCACATATAGTGGACCCACTCTTATGTGAGACACTCCATTGTGATGTGGGTTCGCATTTTAGTGCACTTGAATAACGTAAAATGAGCTCTTTTCAACTATTTTTAAAATGGTTTTCCATTAGTAATTTATTTTCACTTGTACCATTTTCAGTTCAGTACATCTACCATTTTTAATGCATTGATGATCACTTCCGGTACAAATCAAGGACCTTTGCAGACTTAGTGCTAAGAACACTTTAATTTCGTGGCAACTGCAGGCAGTGCTGGTTCACTCTTTTTCATTTATATAGAAATTGGGTAGATATATATTGAGTGCATCTTAGTAATTTGACAATATTACCCCTAACCCCCTCGTCCCTCACAGAGACACACACACAATTGAGTAGTTTTCCCTTGGTTTGTTTAACCTCTCTTTGTAGTAGATACTTCATAGTTGTCACTATTATTTGTTTACAAAACACAAAAATAATACAGAAAAAGTACAAACTAAACAACCAATTTAACACACCAAACAAGCTTTATCTAGAAAACCTTTCACCATGAATAATTATTTTCTGGCCGTCGGTAGGATGCATGTGCTGGGACCAGAGAGTGGATACCATTATAATGCATATGTTTCGACTCGACTGAAGACTTGCTGCGTGTAGCATTGTTCTTTCATTATTTCGGCTCAATAAATTAATAATTATTTAGACAACACTTGTCATGGTGAGTAGGAAATTCTTACTTATCATTGCGATGAATATGTTTCGACTCCGTTGAAAACTTCAACGAGTGTAGTGTTATTCTCAATGCTACTACTGTTTCAGAAGCTGCCAAAAAGGCGCAAAAAAAAAAAGCCCTAACAAACGAAAACTAGTGACTTGAATCGTCTAAAGACATTGGATGCATTCATGTTGGATCTGAGCATTGTCTCACTAATTTGATTTGTTTTTCCATAAAAATAAATAAATAAAAAATTAAAAACAAATTAACAAATGCCACATGTAAACAAAATGATACTATTACGTACATACTATTGGGTGGCAAAATGTAATTATCATTGAGCATTGCATTTGCTAATACAAAGAAGGTAGTGAAAGAAATTTACTACAAAGTAAGATTATGCCTCCAAATCAACAAGCCAGCCATTAATCTACTGCTACTACAGAATAGTAGCACTTTTGGTAATGCAAAAAAGAAACATATATATATATATGGTAGAATGCAAGCTTAATTGCCACCACCAGCTCCTCCTCCTAAACCTTCACCATACCCTGCTCCACCACTACCACCTCCTAAACCTTCATCACCAGCACCAGCACCACCTCCAAAACCACCACCACCTCCAGCTCCACCGCCACCTCCAACTCCACCTCCTACACCGAAACCTCCTCCTGCTCCAAACCCTCCTCCGATACCTCCACCGCCACCAACACCACCACCGCCACCAGCACCACCACCTCCGCCAAGACCACCTCCTCCACCAGCTCCACCACCAAATCCCCCACCTGCACCAGCTCCAGCACCACCTCCCAGACCTCCACCAGCTCCCCCACCTGCACCACCACCTGCACCACCTCCTAATCCACCACCATGGCCAAGCCCACCTCCTGCACCACCACCTATTCCCCCACCATGTCCTAACCCACCACCTGCACCACCTCCTAGACCCCCACCACCACCAGCACCACCTCCTAATCCCCCACCATGGCCAAGCCCACCACCTGCACCACCACCTATTCCCCCACCATGTCCTAATCCACCACCTGCACCACCTCCTAGACCCCCACCACCACCAGCACCTCCACCTAGACCACCACCTGCACCACCTCCTAGACCTCCACCACCACCAGCACCTCCACCTAGACCACCTCCAGCACCGCCACCGAGACCGCCACCAGCACCACCACCGAGACCACCACCACCACCGAGACCACCACCACCACCACCACCGAGACCACCATCACCACCTAAACCGCCACCCCCACCTAGACCACCACCACCACCTAAACCGCCACCACCACCTAGACCGCCACCGGCACCACCACCAAACCCTCCACCAAGCCCACCTCTAGCAAACCTCCCATGCCTAAGCCCTTTTTTAAAAATCCCAGGCCCTAGTCCAAGCAAGTGTTTATCATCTTCAACTCCATTGACATGATCATCGGCAACAACTCCACCACCAAGAGCCAAACCAAGCAAAACAACCACCACAACACAACGCCCTAATACCCACATTGTAGCTTCAACAAAGAAGTTGAAGAACCAACAAGAAATCTGCCCAAAAAAAAAAAAAAAAAAAAAAACACTAACCCAGGAGAGAAGTATACAAAGCTGAGTGAGTATACTAGTGTAACAAAAGGGAACGTGAAGTGTACATATATATATAGTGACAGAAGAGAGTTTTTGTGTACTGCATTACAAGTTTACAACACATGGGTTGGTCCACTGTAACCAATTGTTAACTTTCTCTCTCCTGAGTAAAATAAATGCCTGGGCTTTGATTGGGCTTGTAATTTATGTTCTCCAACTGCCCCCCTCTAACACATTCACAGTTGACAGCAATGCTTCATTAATTCTAGGGTTTGAGACGAAGAACGCGTTATTAGGGTTGAAATCTCTGGACTGTAGTACTGCGTTTTTTTTTTTCCTTGTGTCATTACATTAATTGGCATTTCTGATTCAATAAATGGAGCAACCAAACATTGCCCCACTAAACAGTACACATCTTGCTTTAGTTTGACACCATGACATAGCACATTTATCTGCTCATGGAAATGATGAAGCGAACTTTTTATTGATATGGTTGTTGCGATCATTATTTTTGTTTTATTTCTCTGTTTTATTACTTTAATGCTTTTAACCACCCTATTGAAAGGGTGGTTGCATGTTTTTACTGTCAAACTGACCGGCTTGGAGCTGTAAGTTCGAGGCCTAAAGCAAAATAGTTTAACGAGGTGTTCTCGCATTAACTATATTATTATATAGTTACTAATAATTTTTTAATTATTATCTCTCTTAAATTTGCAATAAGTACAAGAAAATATAAAAATAATATTTTCATTTTTTTAGCTCAATACATGGTGGTTTAATTGTGGAGGCAAAATTTTTTTGGTAATTATTGTGCACGCAATTAATGTATAAAAAAGTCAATATATTACAAAGTTAAAAAGAAATATAATGTTTAGAACAAGTATTGATATGCAAGAGGATTTAAAGAATAGAATAAATTGTTGAGAAAAAAAATGAATATAATGAATGATAAAGATAAAACTATTTCGAAACTTGTATTGACGAATTGAAAATTAGTTCTATTTATTTTATAATTAACACAATAGACAAAAACATAATCAATTAAGAAACTCGTCTAATTAACATAACTATACCAGTGCTTTTGCTAACTTGATCCATTGTATATTAGTAATTAATACAATAAAGAAAGCATAATCAATACATTAACTAGTGTAATGAAATGACTTCTACGGATCTCTTCTCCCATTGGCGGCCAAGGTTGCCTTAATTGCCAGTGTCACTTACAACGAAACTCTTTCTTTTTTTAATGGAAAATGTTTGGGAAAATTAAAATTTAGTGGTCAAAATTTGAGAAAATTTGTTTTATATACATACTTTAAACCAGGAAAAGGTAAATAGTGACCAAATTTAAAAAATAATTTCCATGGAGGGAGGATAAAGTTCATCCTCCCAACTGATGTGACCCTATACAATTTAGAAATATGTTTAAAACTTTAAATTTTTTAAAAATAATCATTACTCATTTTTTTACTGTTGAACGGAATTCTAATTTTTTTTCCTTTCCAAAATAATACGATTGTTTTCATACCCAAATTGAAAAATTACTAAATTTATTTAAAGAATGTACTACAATATCAACTGTTAAATATAGAAAGAATAGGAGCTTAATAAATTATATGAAAATTTAGATGTTAACCTATATTTGAATAGAGCTTTTGTCGCATATTTATTTCTTTCTTGTAGATCTATTTTTGGTCAAAGTTAGATATATCTCTTGCATCCCTCTCAAGTTCCCAACACCTTCAATTGATAGGGCTGAGTGTTGGTTTTTTTTTTCCCCCCCTTTCTCTCATTGATGGAAAATATGAAAAAGAAATATTAAAAGTTTTTGAATAATGCAAATTTCAATTACTGCACAATTTTGTGTCACTTTTTGTTGGTTTTTATATTGTTTTATATATTGAATAAAAGTTGAATGTTTGATTGATGTAGATAGACTAGGATTTCATCAATATAAAAGTTGAATGATTGATATAGATAGACTAGGATTTTAGATTGAGATTGGGCATGGAGATTTTTTGTTTTTGGAGGGGGGAGGGAGAAATTAAGAAAGTCCCTCTAAAAGAGGGATTCTAAAAAATTTAAGTAGGGAAAGAAAAATAATTGGATTTAGGTTTAACCTGAGAAGTTGGAAAATAACCATTATTAAAAATTTTAAAAATTTAGACACTCACCTAAATTGTATTGGACCACATCAACTTGGAGGATAAAGTTTCCCAAGAAAGATTAATTGAATCATCAAAAAGTTGGAATGTGAAGTGTATTTTTGAGGGATTCAGATTACTATTATCAATTAGAATAATTTATGATCATCTAATGGGAGGACCTAAGTGTTGTCTTTTTTTTTTTTTTTTTTTTATGACAAGAATGTTAGGAGTTAGAGGAATGGGGAAAGGTACAAGGCTTGAACACGACTTCCGGCTGGAACGGACCCAACATAGAACCAGTGGGGGTGGATTTTTTATATTTTTATTTTTTAGAATTTATGAAGATGCCTACTAAAATTATAATTCACCTCAGCTGGATATATATATATATATATATATATATATATATATATTGATTTTATACTTCAAAATTTTGAGAATTTATGAAGATGCCCCTACTAAAATTACAATTCACTCAAGTAATTTTATTTTATTTTTATTTTTTTTTTTGCATTTTATACTTTAAATTTTGAAAAATTTATGAAGAAAACTCTATTGAAATTATAAAAATGGACCCACTATATAAGTTTGTCCCCACAAATTAAAGGTCGCCCCCCTCACAAAATTTTCTGAATTCGTTATTGACTCCCGAACATGAGAATCAATCCAACTAATCAAATAACACAGCACTTAGAGCTAGTTTAGTATGGTTGAATGAAATAAAGTGGGAATAGAATGAATCAGATAATGGAATAGGAATGGAATTCCCATGTTTGGTTGCACAGAAAAATATTCTATATTTGTAAAACATATATAAATATGTGTATATATATATATATATATTTGTAGCCGACATTTTATTAAATGCTTTATTTATTTATTTTAAAGTGAGAATGGAATGGTCATTCCTTTAGTTAGAAAGTGGAATGAATAGTATGAATCACCATTCTCGAAGAATGGGCAAGAATCATTATCCCAATTTTAAAGTAAGTTACCAAACTAAATAATGAAAACAAAAGTATTCCATTCCCACTTCATTTTATTCTATTCATTCACACCAAACACGACCTTAATTGCTATTCAGATATTCTCAATCCCTTCATTTTCTTCCTCCTCTTCAAAGCCACCCCAAATGTCAAAATGTTCGAGTAACACTTTATACAATGGCGATGGAGGTGGACAAATCGAACCCAATATAAAGATAAAGGAAAAGAAGAAGGTGAAGTAGAGAAGAAAATCTAGCCACCAAAGGTGGAGGATGACAAATGGTTGAAGTGTTTTTTAACGATCCCATATGTAGCATTTTCAACCATATAGAGGGGACGTGCTTCTCTTCACTAGTCGAAGGACATGCTAGTCTCTCTAACTGACGATGAGAAAAAATATATATATATATATATATATATCTTTGTTATGCAATAGTTCACTAAATTAACGACCAAGGTTGTGTAGTCAAATAATATTTTCCCTATATCTCTTGGTAGAATGCCAGTATTTTTTGCCAATGCCAAAACATAAAATAATAATAACTAAATTTATAATGCAATATTGCTACATATGTTAAGGATCTGGACGTGACGTGTTACAGATTCCGTTTTATTGAAAATCAGTTTGGATTCATCCTCTAAAATATTTCATTTCATTTGAGTTCTCTAAAAAGTCAAAACCTTGGGTGAGTGTTTTGAAAACAAATAGCAGGGGTGCAACTTGGGTGGGGTAATTCAAGCCTGACCGAGCTCAGTTTGATTTTTTAAGGATTTAAATAATTATTTTTATAATTAGGGTTGAACTTGGGTTGAAAAATCTCAACCCAAATTTATTTAGGGTTGGATTTAGATTGAAATGCTAGCAACCCGAGTCAACCCAAATCCAAATTTTAATATTATTTTCATACATATGTTTACTTTTAAATACATTATATATAATATTTAAACTATAATTACTTTTTTTCTTTACAACTTCTTTTTGTTAAATCTTAACTTATTGTATGTTAACATTTAGGAGAATTAATTTTCTAAAAGTTTGTTTGTAATTTATTAAAAATCTACAAAAAGTCTTTAAACTTTTTCTTGTTTAGGAATAATTTAATCTAAAACTAATTCAAGATCATATTAAATTTTTGATATAAGGATTAGCCATATGAATAATCCGAATTAACCCGAAGTTTTTGTCCAGAATTTAAATCCGAGTTGCAAGCCCAAATTTAAAAGTAGAAAGATGGGTTGGGTTTGGGTTGAGTAGTTAAGGTTGAGGATAGAGTTAGGATTGGGTTTGAATTTAGCATTTCATATGATGAGTTGGGCTCAAGTTATATCTCAAACTCGCCCAATTCGCCCGAATTGCAGCCCCAACAAGTAGGACAACATAAATTCATGAATCACCCTCATTTTACTTGTTAGATGTTGAGTTCTAAGAATGATACCATGAATAGGAATGTAGCAATACTCAATTTCATTCTCTTAAACTAAAAATCCATATTAATATATGGAATTGGAGGATAACACATGGGTGTATTCTTTGTATACTTCTCAACCCAATTTCACACATAAATGTTTTGATCAGTCTTCAAAACCCTAACTTTGTATAATCTTAGCACTCACCACTTCCTGACTGGTAAGAATTGTTTCAAGATAGGAATCTGAAGGGATCTACAACTCGCTTTTCTGTGTAGCGTCGACTAGTTTTAGGAAATAAAAGGGGACAAAATCGTCTATGTAATTATTTACTTAAAATGAGGTATTGGCTTCCCGAAACGTTAGTTTAGAAAGAAAGTTTTAAAGGCTTCATTAGAACGGACTTTTAATGACTTCTGATTTCATTGGAAATCCGTTTCAAATATTTTGCCAGACACTCAAAATTTTACAAATAGACTTTTTGGACTTGGAAGCCTGTTTAAAGCCCTCAAAAAGCTCAGCCAAACATACCCTAAATGTCATGACCGTGAGGCAGTTTACATCGAGGACTTGATGTAGTAAGGAGTTTCAAAGGGAGGATCACCCAGAAAAAAATACAATCTGAGTCATACACAAAAATTACAATTTTGGTCACCAAAATTTAATTTTGCTGTAAATTAGAAGGAAATGACTGAAACTGTCATCAAAATTGTAATTTTTGCTGTAAATTAGAAGGAAATGACTGAAACTATAACTTTAGATTGAATGAAATAAAATAAAATAAAATAAAATGGATTAATATAATTGACCTCAAATAATTGAAAAAAAGACTTCTATTTCTAATTGTTATAATTAATTTTTTAGTATAAGATATCATAACATTAGGTAGGACTTGGGTGAGCCTTGAACAATCCTCATCCTGCACAAAAAGACAAGTTACTTAACACGATGAGACTAAATAATAAAAAATGTAACAATATGCTTGGTTCGGCATTTATAAAAGAATTTAAAAAATATAAAATTGTTTTAGAAAATTATGAAACATAGTTTTCTAAAAACAAATTTTTTTTTTTTTAATTGAGTTTTTAGAAACAATTCTCAATTGAGTTTTTAGGCAACAGTTCTCGAAAACTGTCATCGTACAAAGCAGATTATTAATTTTCTATTATCAAAAAACAAAAAAATAAAAAATAAAAAATTAAAAAATAAATATTTTTTAAAATCTAGCATTCTACATTCATAATAAGTGATGTCATTATCATTTAAAATTTTATCTCATTTTAAATGATGCTTACCATTTTCAATAATATTCAAATTACGTTATTAAATGCATTCAATTGAATAAGCAAACACTAAATTGAGTTTTTAAACAGAGTTAAGATTTTAAATCCTTTTCAAATTTTAATAGGAACGAATATTATAAAGTATCATAAATTTTAATCAATCAAAGTCCCACACGGCATCAACAGTAGCATGCTACAAATGGGGACATTTGTTGGACAATTCTTTTTTAGTAAACGATTACATCAGGTTATGTGTGGGCTGGGCTTGAGGTAGCAGTCGCGTTTGAATCAAGTCTGAACTCAGACTTCAGACTTAAATGCAGCCAGTCCAGTCCAGCCCAACCCACAGTGTCCTCGTTCTGAGCTATTTTAATATAAATTTCTGTTCACTTATGTCCCTCTCCTTCCTATATATATATATATATATATGTACAGAGAGAGAGAGAGACGAACACATAACAGAACACACAGAGTCATGGAAAATCAATCCAAAGAGTCTGCTGCAACAGAAAGTGAGGAATTTCCTGATGAGTTCCAGTGCTGCGTATGTCTGTGAGTCTTTATCAAGTTATTGATTCAGATATTTAGTCTTTATCAATCTTAGATTTTCCTTTATTATTTATTTATTTCAGATTGCTTCAATTTTATCTGTTTTATTGAACAATTAATTACTGATTTCAAGATATATTGGAAGCAATTTACCTGTATATATATATACATATATATATATATATTGAAGGCTTCTGACCTGTGTGTGTACACATACATATATAATAATTTATTGGTTTCCTGGTAAATTAAAGGGATTAATATCTAAATGTGCTAGAAATGAATGATAGTATTACAAAGATGTGGTGTTACTTGTGCAAGCAATTTTCAAAATGAAATTCACAATGAGACTAATTTAGTGAAGCAATTGAAATTTGTTAAGAGGGCATGGGTATTTTAACGTGTGTGTGAAAAAAATTGTAAATCAGTGGCTTATTTTACGCGTTTAAAGTATGTTGCAGAGGATATATTTGGTTTGTTATAGTCAACAAATTCCTACAGATTGATGTGGAATGGAAGAAGTAAGAAAAACTAAAGAGGCTTACACTACAAATTTGCAAACTATATTCAATTCCTCATAGCATTGTTAATTTTATCTTGGTCCGCTATCAAATTTTTTTCTTGCCATTCTGATTGATGGAGTTCGTACGTATGTGTGTGTATGAATTTTGAACTGATAGGCCAATAATGCCATAAGATATTTTCTCTCCACTATGCACGGCCCTGTTCATTCACATGAAACACTATCCTCGTGAAATCTTTAACCTTAACCGTGTTGCTACATCTTGCTGGCACAGCCAATTGTGCTTTGTCACACATCATTAGAATATCTAATTATCTCATCTAACGGTGCATCTCTCGGTTATCATGAAGGAGTTCTTTTCATTATACTATTATTTGTCTCTCCACAATCCCTCATACATATCTATATCAGCCATGCTCACTATGTGGAGATGTTGATTGACACTGCACTTAATATCATATAATATAAATCATTCAGTTGCCTGAGAAGCAACTCTTTATTACAGAAAACTCCTGTTATCTGAGTCATCTCTTAATCTTTCTGGATTATTAAATTAAGTTTTGAAAGTGTTCGTTGTTGAGTATCCCCAATTTAACTACTTTAAAGAGTTTATTGGTACCTTATATATATAGAGTTATCACATATCAAGAATCCACAACTTACAGTTGATTTTTCTGCTTTGATCAATAACCGATTTGAAAGCTTTTTCTTCTTCTTTTCTTATTTATTTATTATTTATGTTGGCAGGGATCTCTTCTACAAGCCCATTGTCTTAGGTAAGTAAGTGTTACAAAGAGTGAAAATTTTTCGCTATTTCTTCATTAGGTTCTAGACCATTTTTTCTCTTGTTTGCAGCCTGTGGCCACATTTCATGCTTCTGGTGTGTCTACAAAGCTATGAATACTTGGCATGAATCACGCTGTCCAGTTTGTCGGCAACCATATAATCATTTTCCCAGTATCTGCCATTTACTGCACGTCTTGCTTCTGAAGTTGTACCCATTAGCCTATAAAAGAAGGGAAATACAAGTGAGCGGTGAGATGGTTGATTCTTTTTTACTAATAAATGTTACTTATATCTACATTTATTCTTTGACTACTGTGAATAGTCAGAAAACTGCATCTATATCTTGATCTCAAGTCTGAGCAAGGTTCATTGGTTATGTTTTGTTCTTCTTTCTTTTCTTTCTTTCTTTTTAAATTTTATTTCATTTGGGAATTCCATTTGTAATGTGCTTAGTTTGATATCCGTACATAGTTAGTCATAAGTTTGAAAAAGGAGGATAGTTGTGTTAAAGAGTTGACAGCCAGCATACAAATTTATCAGCCCCGTAAAATATAAATGTTGAGGATATTCAAGAAAATGATTGGGCCATTCCCCCAAGAGTAGACGGCCAGCATAAAACTTTATCAGAGCCTTAAAACATGAATCTTGAGGATATTCAAATGTTTTGAGAAGTAGGAAGGGGGCATTGGATTGATGACCAGATCAAGTGAAATGAGCAGGGTTTCCATGCTATGCTAGACGAGCGCAGATAGAGAATCTAATAAAAAATAACTGGGTTACATTAACAACTTATAAAATTTGAACATAGGTAAATGAACAGAATTAGTGGACGATGGTTAGAAGGAAGATTAATAGATGATAACTTTAGAGAGATTAGAGAAAACAAATGTTTCACAAAATCAGGGTGGGCAAGGTAAAAATTGTGTTGAGGAGGGTGAAAATAGAAAGTTTTTAGTTAGATGGCATTTTGTTGAAGCTTGGAAGTGTTCAGTTAAACTACTTAATAAAGCAATGGTCTATTACTGGTCTTTTGTGTCACTATAATGTGCCCAATGTTTAAGCATGTATTAATAGACTTGTGCTGAAATCGTTGCTTAGTGCATTTTATCTTGTGTTATCTAACAACATTATGTTTGTTATGGTTGTTCCAGAAGAAGAAAAGGAAACTGGGCACTCCTCTCCTCGGTTGAATGATCATTTATCTGCACCACATCCTAGCAAAGAGTGCAATAATGCGGAGGAATTTTCTCCACATTCTTACACTTCACAAAATAAAGTGCATGTGGAATTATCTTCTTCTGGCGTGGGGGAACCTTCCTTAATCAAGGATTCATCCGAAATTATTGTGCCAGTTAAAGATTGTACGATTACTGTTCATACAATGTCAAGCTGTGAAGCCACTGGAAATATGACTGCCCAAGAAAAAAGTGTGCATGGAAATAAGCTTGTGCACGGAACTTGTGATCAGGTGCTTATTACTGATCTTCTGTGTGTTATATGCAAGCAGCTACTATATCGACCCACAGTTCTTAATTGTGGCCATGGTAAACCTTACAACTTTAGATAGCCATGTTGAACATTTAAGTTGAAAGAAATATATTAAAGAAATTCTCGTGTTATTGTCTTCCCTTTTGCAGCATATTGTGAAACCTGTATCATCAATATAGATGGCGAGGTATGTAGGTGTCAAATTTGTCCAAGTGTGCATCCATACGGGTTCCCAAAAGTTTGTTTAGTCCTTGAGCATATCTTGGAAGAGCAGTTCTCTGAAGAATATGCAGCAAGGAAGGAGGCTGTACTCAAACAAGCTGATTGTCAATATGGAAGCCCAACAACATGTAAGTCCTAAATGTTTTATCATTCTTCATTCACCCTTTACTTAGTAGGCTTAGGAACAATGTTGGCAATTGATTGTTCAATAGAGTTATTCACCTCGCAGTCCAATTTCAGGTATTGATCTTTTGAGTTTAATTTTGATCCCTACTTGAGTTTGGGTGGCATAGGTTGCACAAAATGAGTTACATGCAAACAAAAAATATATATACACACACTGACACACACATATGTAAAGGTAAATATATGTACATATATTCGAATACATATCCACCCTCTTTATATTCCAAAATTTTGATATGTTTTCTACTGTCTGAAGCATGGACAGATAATACAGATAGGATACAGCTTCAAAATGCTAATATGATGTATTCCGGAAAATATTATATGAAATGGCAATGACACAAATATATGTTGTTATATATTGTTGTATATATAATTATTAAAGACGGATAATATCTTTCTTTGTTGGAGCTAGAACTCTCCCGATTCGTTACTGGGACTGCATTTTTGTACTTTTCCAGTCTAATGCAAGTGTTTGGACTAAGCAGCTTAAATATCTTTTTATCAAGGGTAAGGTTACTTATCTTTCAAAAGTTTCATGAGAAAATTGAGGGTTATGTTCCATTAAAATAAACCAGGGACCATATTCGATACTTTTTATTTTTTTTGATAAGTAATATTCCACACAGTTTTCTCCTTATCATATCACACTTCTTGTTAATTAAACACCACTCCGACTATTTAGAATTGTTTTTACTAACAGTTATACTCTATTTACTATATTGGAAATGTTGTATCCCAAGTTCAAGAATTTCAAACACATGTAGATACCTATTTGAACTTAACAAATTATTTTTCATTTTCTTGTTTAGGAATCACCTGACATGTATTCACGAGTGTTGAAATATATAGATATTCCTATATAACGGTGGAGCAAAATCCTCCACCAATCATGGTGCCTCCTTTGACTATTTTACACCTTCTATATTCTCTTATATTTACCATGTATATAGGCTCTTTGTACTCAAGCAGTATATAGATCTGAATAATAGAAATGTAGCCCTTAGTGGCTCTTTGTCCATAGACGTAGACCTTACTACCGAACCATGTATATGCCTGTGTTCTCTGTCTTTCTCTCTTCCCTTTTCCTATTTGCATTTCTTATTTCCGCATCCAAATTTAACATGGTATCAGAGTATCGATCCTAGATTGATCATCACAGAGAGTTTGAGGGGAGTATGGAAATTATTATCATGGAACATATTCTCTATATCTTCACATTCTTTTCCTGGCGTAGTTCCGGCTTTTCCCGGCTTAGTTCCGGTCATTTCCTGGCAATGTTCCGGCCATTTCCCGGCTTAGTTCCGGTCATTACCCGGCGATGTTTCGGCCATTTTCTCGGCTTTGTTCGGGTTATTTCTCTGCGTTGTTCCGGCGAATCCGGCTTAGTTCCTGTCCAGTTTCACCAGCAAGATCCGGTTATTTTTTCCCGGCAAGTTCCGGTTTATTTCCCTGGCAAGATGCGGTCAATTTTGTGGCTTTGTTCCGAACACCTTCCCATCATCTTTGGAGGCGTTTCTTTGGCAAGTTGGGCATTCATGATATTCATGCTCCTGTGATGTTTTCAATTTTCGTCATTTTCCATTTTTTCAAAATTCTTTCGCTGAGGGGGGCATTTTAGTCTTTTGTCATTCTGCGTACCGGACACTGCGGAGTGTGCCAGTTGTGTACGAGGGTTTTGGGTTGGGTCCATTTGCATCATAATTATTTTATTTATTGATTGCATGTTAAATGTGCATTTGTAAGTGTACATGGTGTAGAGTGAAAGAAAAAGAAAAAGAAAAAGAAAAAGAAAAAGAGAGAAGAGAAGTTAGTGGCGGGACCCACCACTATCCCATTTATTGTCTAGAGACCACATTTTTTGGTCTCTTATTGAGGATGCGGCAAGTGACATGGGCCGGATATAGTTCGCTGAAACGGGATCGGGTCGAATGATTGAAGTAGGATCCATGCCAAAGCGCCCTGGAATGGGCCGAACCTGGGGGATCCACCGAGGAAGGTCAAGCCCATTGGAAGATCAAGCCCAGAAGGAAGAGAGCTTTTGAATATAGGCCCAATGTAATTAGTTAACAGCAATAAGGGTGATGGCCTATAAATAGACCATGACAGGTGGAAAGTAAGGAGGAAGAATTCTAGAGAGAGAGAGAGATAGGAAAAGAGAGAAGAAATGAAATCTTGCATCTTCAATTGGCGCCGTCTGTGGGAAATGAGGACGAAGATCAATTCGAGCCCGATCAGTACCATGTTAGTTCAATCGAGTTTGAGTACGCAGTGTGGTTTCTGGAAGTTGAATCCAGATCAGTGAGATTGTAGTTTGTTCAGAGAGAATTCTTGCTTATTGTGGATTCTGAGACATTTGCTTCGGAATGACGCGATTGTGATTTGCTCAATTGCAGTCAGATCCGATGAGTTTGAAGCTAGAAAAGTTCAGATCTAGCAAACAGTGATCACGATTTGGTGAAGTTAAGCCCAGATCTAACGGAGTTTGCATCGGAAACGCTTCGATCTGTTTCGGAGTTCGTAATTCATGCCTTTGCTTCGATCCGGAATCATGATAGGGGGTGACAACTCTAATACGGCTGAGAACGTCCAGCAAGTGAAACTTGATGAGTTGATGAACATGATCGAAGCTCTCCGGAGAGAAAATGCAGATCTAAGGACTGAAATGCAGCGTCAAGAAGCTCCAGTAATTCCACGATCGCTCCCCGTAGGAGAAGATGGTGCACGTACCGATGCAGCACATCACGGTGAGGAGGTTGGAAACAATCTAGTAGATCCTCACCGCGAGGAAATCCGGCGAGACGGTTTGCCGCCAAATCTTCGTCGTATTGATGATCGTGAAGGATCGACTCACATAGATCCACGGCGTGAGCAGATCAGGCGAAACGAAGCAATGACTTTTGATCCACATCAAGAAAAGCTCAGCCGAGGTGAAGCAATAGAGTTGATTCGTCAGAAAGCTATGCCTCCATGGCGCAAAGACTTTGTTAAGGACAGATCATTTGATCCGATCTATCGGCCTTCCATGACGACGTTCGACTATCACAGCTCAGAGAGGAGATCAGTAGACCAAAGAGCAGCCGCGGGGTTCCAGAGGGAAAATGAAGCACTCCGTTCAGCAGCTCGAACGGTTGATTCACCGTTCACCGATGAGATTCTGAATGCTCCGAGTCCGAGGAAATTTTCCATGCCCGTTTTCATTCTGTTCGACGGAACGACTGATCCGATCGATCATGTGTATCACATCCAGCTGAAAATGGCTCTAAACACTGAGAATGACTCTTTGATGTGCAAGTGCTTTCCTACGAGTCTGGCCGGACCAGCTCTGAATTGGTTCAAGAACCTGCCGAGGGGTTCAGTAGATAGTTTCCGAAGCTTGTGTGATCGGTTCATAAGCCAATACTATGGAAATAAGCGTCCAGTGAAAGATATTTCGAGCCTATTCACAATGAAGCAACACGCTGAAGAGCGTCTCCAGGCTTTCCTAACCAGGTTTAACCTTACCAAGAGCATGGTTATTGAATGTCACCCTTCAACGGCAGTTCAAGCATTCATATTGGCCATGAACCGTGGCACCCCGTTCCACACAAGCTTGGTGGTCAACACGCCGAGGACTATGGATGAACTTAACGAAAGAGCCGATGGATTTGTGCGCTTGGAAGAAGAAGAGGCGGCAAACGCTCGGAAGACATCCGTTATATCCACGGAAGAAAAGACCAAAGCAAAGATCAGGCAAAAACAGGTTCAGCCGCAACGCTCCTCGTGGAAATCTGAGAAGAGGCCCAGAGAGGAAGAGCTGGTTACTCCATTGAAAGTTACCCTAGCGAGACTGTACCAAGAAAATAAAGATAAGTTCCGACCTCCTTTACCAATCAGACAACCTCTCTAACAGAGGGATCAGTCTAAGCACTGTGCATTTCATTCTGATTTTGGCCACCAGACTAACGAATGCAGGAACCTAAGGAGACAGGTAGAGATGCTGATAGCCAGAGGGGAGTTCGCAAGTTATATTCAAGGACCAGCGGTGGAGCAGAACCGACCAATGGAGCACGTGAAGAAGAATCAGAAGTCGAATTCTCACAACACGCAACCAGTTCGAGTAATTAATGCAATTCACGGTCGGCCAGAACCTGCCGAGGAATCAGATGAACTGCTTCGAACACGCCTTCGCCAGGCACGGATGAAGAGAAGGATAGGCAGTGTAAACACTCTGCACCAACAGAGCGCATCAATGCAGATAAAGTTTGACGCAACAGACTTGTTGCGTGTTCAGATCCCTCATGAGGACCCGCTTGTCATAAGTTTGACAGTGGCCAAATGCTTGGTGCGCAGAGTTCTAATTGACCCTGGAAGTAGTGCGAACATCATGCCAAGAGATACATTCGATCGGCTCGAGATCAAACAGGATCGGCTGAAATCCACCGGGAATCCACTATTAGGGTTTGATGGAAAGCGAGTGGAACCCGTCGGCACGGTGGAGGTAGCGGTACATGCTGCCGAGGGGGTTTTGATGGAAACCTTTGTAGTTGTTGAAATTCATCCCTCTTACAATCTTCTGATGGGCAGAGGGTGGATCCACAGAGTTCAAGGTGTTCCTTCCACTCTGCATCAGGTAATGAGATGCCTGGGACCGGACGGAACCAAAGTGATTGACATTCATGGAGACCAAGTTGCAGCTAAATAATGTTACTCTGTAACGCTGAAACATGCCGGAAAGAGGAAAGCTCCCATTCGTTCAGTAAGTCCGAAATAACAATTACAGGAGCCTCCCTCCAAGCAGAATGGAGAGGAGGAACCAGTAGGCTTGACTGAAGAACCCCTGTTTGATGTGCAGATCGATCAGTTCCGACCGGAACGGACAACCAGAGTAGGGGAACGACTCGTTGAGGAGAAAAAGCAGGAATTAGTTGATTTTTTGTCTCAAAACGCAAATGTGTTCGCA